TTGTTGTTAGCCAGGAACATGAACAACAACAACAAAATTGCTTTGAAGACGAAGAAGAAAAAAAAGAAGAAATTCAAGAAAAATATAGACGAAAGCCAATAAAACTTTCCATACAAGGTGTGAAGAAGACGGGTATGTCAATGGCGTAACATACTATCCATATATCATAATCAACATAATATCCATTGTATATCGTTGCTTTTATTTCTTCAGTTCATATAAGAACATAAGCTGAGAGCAAGGATCACTAAGCTTCAGTTGACATAAAATGAAAAATGTCTTTTGCTACTTATTCGATAACGATGGTAGTTTGTTTCGAACGAAACGTTTCGATTTTTACGTCCTTGGCACGTTTTATACCGCAGAAGACAGGAAAAGACGGAAAATATAAGCGAAGAGAAAACATGAAAAATGCGCTTGCGAAGAGTTTGGTCAAACGCCCGATGTCCTCTGTCAATGAAGTTGTAAGGGAAATAGAGGCTAACAAAGAGAGAGAGGGAGAGGGAGAAAAAGGAAGGTTGTAGCCGCAGAAAAAAAAAGAGAAATGATTGAAATGAAAAAGTGTGTGAAGTAGTAATACGACTCAGAGAGATATTGTACGCAATGAGACCATCTATAGCGGTAGTAGACTGATGTTTAGCTTCGGTATGAATTACAGAATTGATCTTCTGTCTGCTCATAGTAACTTAGGAGAAAAAAAAAAGAAGCTTGACACTAGAGCAGATGAATTTTTCAGCGAAAAAGAAGCTGGCTGAATGAATAGTTCTGAAGCAGCTTGTATTCTAACTCTTCAGCACCATTACTTTTCTTTTCATCATCTTTCATTCAATGCTAAGACTCTAGTTTAGTTATGAAGTTAGACAGCTTGACGAAAGAGAAGTCTACCGGTGAAATAAGCTAATAAGATAAATGAAGAGACAAACAAACATAGAAATAGTGAAAAAATAAAAAAAATGAATACCTCAATACTGGAATTTGTTTGGTGAAATTGCTGTGAATGAAAATTGTGATGATGAACGACCGTTCATTGAGTACAATTAATTGAAAATGACTTTTAGTCCGTAGTGCCTTCTCACGTATTTTCACGTGATGACTATACAGATAATTCAAATCATAAATTAGCATATTCAGATTTCGAAATAAGAAAACAAACGAATTGAGTTTCGTGGAATTTGGAACTAAAAAAAAGAAGAAAATAGAACGAAAAATGTAACGATTTTTGGTGCAATGAGTGGAAACAAGCTGATGTTTCAGCTGAAGAGGTAAAATAGTAAACGAAATTTAAGAGAATAGTCAAGATAAACGGAAATAAAAGAAAAGAAAGAAAATAGAAAACTATGAGAAGAAATTGATTGAACCAACTTCTAAAGCTTAGTCTTTAGCTTCATCAGTTGCACTGACAAACTCTGTAAGTAAGAGTTGCCAGAACTTTCATCATTCAAGAGAACTTTTATTCTGATTGAAAACAACCTAAATGATACAAATGAGAAATGTCACAAAGCTTTTGCACAGTTTCAACGATTTTTTAGTTGGCAGAAACCGGATGAGATGGTAAGGATGATTTCGCAAAAAAATTGACAAACAGAGAGAAAGAGAGAAGTATACAGAAGATTCGGATTTAACTGCAGCTCTCACTGTGGTATGTGGAAAAGAAAATTTTCTTTTTTTTTTTCGCATTCTCTCCCCCTCTCTATCTATCTCTGTTCAGTGCTGTACTACTTCCCAATGAAATAATTTCTGTGTGGATGTGAAACATCAAAATGAATTGAAAGTTTCTATACTCTAATACTCCGAGAGCTGTAATGAGCTGGGGAGGAAGAAAAGGACATTTTTTTTCTGAGTTTTTTTTTCTTCTTTCACCTAGTAGAGAATGAAATTGAATTGAACATGCGGCACTCAGCAAATTGTTGAAACGTACAGTGTTTGGACAAGAAGAATTAATGTTTGAATAAGTGGAAATAGTACGGAAAATGGTTTAGTAACTTGTAGAATGATAAGTCAATAAGTTCTGTCTCCCATTCGTTCACATGCAATTCATGAAAAAAAGGGTCATGAAGCTCAAGTTGAGTCCGAATATATCAGATTCATGACATCGATGTTTCCAGAGTATGTTGCGTTGAACATAGATTGATGAAGCCTCTAGGGGATTCTAAAGAAGAGAGAGAAAAAAAAGGGAAAAGATGGCAGGATAGAGAAAATAGTATGATGAACATAGAGAATCAGGAAATAGAGAGGAAGAGATAGGGAGAAAGAAGGGAATTACTCGAACCAACAAAGAATGTCCGAAAAGTGGTCTGAAGCAAAGAGGGAAATATCTGTTTCAAACGACCAACAAGCTTCCAAAAAGGATTCGGACTTATACAGATTTGAGAACGAAGAGAGATGCCAATGATGTGAATACGAACAAGCAGACGAATGAAAAGTTGAGAGAAAAGGTGTGGGGAAGTATGATGAATGGCAAACGAATGAAAAAAATTCGAAATGTTTCCAGTTTTTCTATCAGAAATAGAGGGATGCATAGCTGCTCAATTAATAGGATATTAGCTGGTTATTATACTAGATAACTATATGTATAAGGCATAATTAAGTATTACTGGATGGACGATATATAAGTAGTCGCAATGTGTGAAAACCAATCAGTAAAGTTGGTCACATAGAGCTGACAGTATTCAGATCTTGCCAACCTCAATCATATACGGGTATGTCAATCACAAATGTATTTTTAAAAGGCCATAATGATCGAGAGGAGTGGTGAAAAAAAAAAAGAATTTAAATTTTATTTTTGAATATCTGACCTCTGCTGCATTATCCATTGATAGATTATCCATACGGCCTTGCTAGCTCAACCTCTAGTAAATCCTGGCTAAAGCTTTAGAAATAGAGAGCACAATGAGATGTCCTATTAAGGAGAATACGAATGGCCGGAAACCTCCAGTCAAATCAGGTAGTTGTTCAAATAGTATTTTCTGAAAGAGTTTGGCAGTGTCATAGTTCATGGAAACATGATGTAGATCGAAATGTTAAGAAGCAAAAACAGAATTCAAAGAATAAACTATGCATTAGTATATAAAACAATTTTATACACAAATATTTATTTAAAAGAATTTGAAGGGAAGGAGAAAAAAAAACTTTGTGAAAGTCTATGAAAGATTCGAAAGCTGAATGAACAGACGAGATGAGAAACAAAATACAATCTTTACATAGTAAGTTGAAGGAAAAAAGTTGTGTGAAGTATCAATTAGACAAGAACTTCCTAAAATCTCATCATATCTTTCTAATTGAACAGCTGTTGCTGTTGTTCAATGAAGGAAAAGCTGAATTTGAGCCAAAACCATAAGGGATACCGAGAGAGGTCAGGTCAGTTGGAACTCAGGTGTCTCGTATGACTTTAAGATTTTCTTTTCCCTTCTCTCATAAAGTTAAAAGATGGGAAAAAAGTGTAGAAGGAGAGTAGTAGAAGGTGGAGAAAACAATCATTTTTCTCAAAGTTTTCAAAACTCTCAAAGCAAAATGACTATGAGAAGAGGGAAAGTTGACAAGCAAAAAGGTTGAAACAAGATAACATGAATTGTGTATGAAAGCTGATGATTGAAAAATCTTTTTTTTTTATTTTCAGCCGAAAGTAGTGGAAAGACAAATTATTCTTCTAATTTGTAAACCAAAATATGCCTTCTCATTGAGAAGACAGAGGCAAAAGGAGGAAATTGGTTGGAGATAGCTCCTTGGGGACACAGATGTCCTATAAGAATAAGCTTCGGAAGGAATTGTTTCATGAGAACGAAGTACAATATGTAATATGGAAATATTAAAATTGGAAGACACTGAGTATACGATTGTCACACAGAATGAATGAAGAAGAAGCTGAAAAGTGAAACAAGTAAGATGAAATGAGAAAATAAAAAAAGAAAACTTTCTGAGGAGTGCCTGAAAGATGCAACGAAAGTGTAAAGAACTCTTTGTCATTTTTGAACTGAACACTGAAATTGATATAAAATGAGAAAAAACGAGAGATTGCCGATTGTCAGTGTCTCATGCGAAAAATACCTCAAACAATGTGTATGTCTGTCATTGTGTGTGTGTATCTGTGTGTGTGTGTGTGTTTGAAATGAAAAGAAAACAAAACATTCAACATGCTGCTTATATGTAACTCAATTTTATTGAATTTCTCCAAGGATAAATCAAATTCCTCTGAGATTATAGAGCTGGCCGGTTGTTGATCCAAATTATGTGGGCAAAACTATATGGAATATGGCATGAATATATTATTTATATTTATATTATATTAGTCATTTAAACATTATAAAATTGATTATCTTCAGATTGTAGTTGAAACATTAAGAATGAGAGCTCTTTGCGTTTGTGTATCTTCTGTTCAGTCGCCTGTTTACTCAAAACTGTACTAAAAGAAAGATGAACTGAAACAAAGAGGTTAAAAAGAATTAAAGACAACAAGATAGAATTGCGCTGTATGATGATGAGCTAGAGGAAGAGAGAGCAAGAGAGCAGAGAGAGAGTGAGAAAAGATGATTTTTAAAAACAGCATAAGTAACTTTACAAATAATATTTCATAAGGCTATATAGCCTGTCGTTCATATCATATTCTTATAGCTTGCCTTTTCAGCTCTCTCTCTCTCTCTCTCTCACTCATATCAGATATTTTTGTTAAAAAAATGTAATTTGTGACTGTTTTTTCGCTCAAGATTTGACGCATTCACGTGAAAATCTCACGCTCGTTTTATTGTCTTGTAATTGTTGCAGCAGAGCGGTTGCGTTTTTTTCATTTTTTTTTTTTAATTTTTAGTTTTTCTGCTTCTGTCTTGGTCATGTTGAGTATGATGTTAGAATGCTTGTGCTAAGGGAATCAATATTATTCATACATATATTAGTATAAGATGTCATGAAAGAAAAAATACGTAAGAGATAGACTGCTAAAAACGTTTTGTAAACCCGAATATGAGAAGAGTGAAGGACTAGAATTTGTGAAAATGAATTTTTGATATCTACACAGGTCTTGTAGGTCTCAAGTCGTCCATGCACTCTATTTGGAGATCAGATCCAACTGCTGTATTTGATACACTTCTTTCTATTTCGTCTGATTCTAGAAAGACAACAAAAAAATATAATTGTAATCAGTGTTAAGATTGAATTACCGTTATTGGCAGCTGGATAGTTATCATTAAATGCTATAGCTCCCAGTCGTTCGTTAATTCGCATTTCTTTTTCCAAGCGCCATTGAGGTCTCATGAGCCAATGAATCATACTGAACAAGGAAATATTATGAATATCCTTATGAAACGTTCAAAACCTTTGTCCGAAAACAACGGTGAACTGAATAAGAGAACCAATGAAGAAAACAAATCCTGGCCACCAGTCCATGGTCGCATTGAACAAGGAATTGAAAACCAGTGATGATATGATTGGACAAATTGCCATAATGATAGAGCAAACTAACAAAAAAGGTAATAATAGATATCAATTAGTGTCTACCTGTCAGAAGTCTAGCAGTTTGCTCTTTGGGAACCATTCGAGGTAAGAAAGATCGATAACCGGGTGCAATTCCTCCGATTATTAAAGCTAATCCACAAGCTAAGATTGAAGAATACTTGATGAACTATTGTATCAAACTGACTAATAAAAATTTCTTGAGTTGTTTGTGCCTGAGATATGACAAAGAATGAAACGGCAGAAGCTGATATGCCCATGATGATCATGATACTGTCTTTACCTAGCCAACGGACTAATGTCAACGCAAGAGGACCTTGAAATTTTCTGTTTCAGAAGTTTAATTTGGTGATGAACTCACAGAGAATCATGCCGACAGAAAAAATGGCTCCACGGATCAAAGAATAATAACTGAATGTACTGTCAGTCCATGAGAATGGTGGTCTTTTCAATAACAGGAAGAGAATCGACATATCTGAACAATCCGATTAATGGAGATTATGGTAGCTTTAAGAACCCAAAGATAAAAATTCAACAAAAACGAAAAAGAGGGATAAGATGAGACAAAGACGAGTCCATCCGGGCCTCTTTTCCATTATGACTTCCACCAAAGACATTATGTAAGTGCTTTTCTTGGTTTCAACTTCAGTGCTATCCTCAGAGTCTTCTAGAAATTAAAAGGCTTAACGCTTGATGTAGGAAGTGATACTTACCATTAAGTCTGCAATAATCTTTTTGAGGAAAATGAGTTTCGCGCACAAAAACAATTGTATAAAGAAGAGCCACCACTGCCGTGACCAATTCTTTAAAAAAATATTTTGATGTGATACCACATAGTAACTTACGTAAAAATGCTGCTTTCACATAACTTTGACTGTGACCAGTGACTGATACCAAGGCAGGCACAGCAAGCATACTCATGATTAGAACTCCCAACAAACTCCCTATTGACTGAAGAAATGAAGCTATCCCGATACGAAGAGGAACTGTTGAAGAACCCTAAGTACATTCATTTCTAACACCGATGAGTTCGCAACGAACCGGTCTCAATTTACTTCTGCAATCATCAGTGACAATAGCTAGAGAAGTAGCAAAAATTGAAGATGCTCCTCCGGTCAATCCTACAAATGATAAAGTATGTTACTTTGGAGATAAGCACAAACCAGAAACAAATTCACCAACGAAGTACCATCGATAGACGTTCCAGGTTTCGTAAGTCATTGTTGCCATCATTAAGCAAAATGTTTGGATAACATATCCAGACATAGCATAGAGCAAAGGTAACTTTCTTCCTACAAGTTGCAATTATGGTAAAGATTTCACTTGCTCGTTACCTCGACGATCCGACCATGTACCAATTAGGGGTGCTATGAGCAGAGTAGGAATTCCACCGACAATCTAAATATTTTGTAAAGCTGGCTATGACATTCACTAAAGCAGCTGTACCTGAAGCCAGATTTTAGTGCTGGAAATATCACTTTCCACTAAATCTTGTAAAGTTCCATTAGAGGCAGATAACTGAGCACACAATGAAGTAATGTTTTCATTGATATTCTCCTAAACCATATGACTGAAGATGCTATTAAGTTTTCAACTGACCTCTAACTGTCCAGCAATTTCGACACAACGAGCCCAATAGGTAAAGAGAGGTTGGAAAGTTATAAGAAGCCCTATAGAAATAGAGAAAAGGCACATAACAGGCTCCACATTAACTATCCCACTGAAAAGATCAATATGAGGACTAATAGTTATCATGTTTGGAAGTATCTCATCTCAAAATGGTATCACCTTGTATATCTAGCGTAGATAAACCTCGCATGACCAAGATATCCCCTATATCTAGCCATGATTTATCACTAAAGACCAATTAGCTTCATTTAAAGCAAGTCATATCGAATTTTTATAAAAATTTAACAACGACGGAAGGAAGACTAGCAGTTTGAACTAGCCCTTGAGCATGTTTGGCCCTTTCGGGTCGATATTTGTCTGTTCATTCGTTTCCAATTCTTCAATTCAAAAATGCAAAACAAGTTTTTTGTATCCACTTATGAGAAACAAAAACAATTTAAATGTAATTTTAAAATGGCAGAAGAGTAAAGAAACATTCGAAGGAAGCGATAAATGAGAACCAAAAACCCAAAAATGTCTAATCAATAGCAAAAAGCTGAGTTAATGAATTCTCTATTATATTCTCATAAAGGACGAACGCGCTCTAGCATGGACGGAACAAATTACTTTTCGAACTAAATTTGATAAAAAAAAAGAAAAAATGAAAAATTTATAGACTGAAGCAACCGTTCAATGAAACAACATGGAATCAAATGAACTGCACCTAGCGATTGGAGGCACGTGGAAACTACACGTAAAGTACATATTTAAAAAGATTAACTTACCACAATCTCTTGTGCATTGATAAATCTGTATTGCTCATGTTTAGTTGTCCCTGTTGATGATGCGATCCTCTCCGCCTTTCCTTAAAACAATTAGTTTATGATGATGTGTACAGCTTGTAGAGAATAAGAGATGTATATAAGTATTTATAAACATATTTTTTTAGGTCTGTGCACCGGGTGCAGAGTTAATCCAGATCAAATTTTCGATCCGTGGCTTCTCTATTCGTACAACCAATGAGTCATGGCTTATTTGAACAAATTCTTACAATTATTCGAACTTTGCAATGAATAGATGAAAAAAAGAGAAAGAAAATAAACTGAAAGTATCTTGATTGAAGGTTTCGCTGGTACAAAACCGAGAATCACCAAGTTTTGATAATGAATTCAAGGAAGTATCAATGTCCATTTCTCGATAAAAGTGACCACAAGGAGCTTATCAAGTAAATATAAATCAGACCATGTTTAGATCAGCTCCACCCTGATGATTTCTGAGATCAAAGCATCAACGAGCGAAGAATATAACAAACTAAGGACGTTTACAGACAATCGCCACCCATATCGCAGCGGACAGTCTCGAAACTGAGCTAGCAACTCGACAGATTCACGGTAGAGGAATAATTTAAATTCAGTGAGTAAGCATGACAATCAACACGTGATTTTCAAATGTTTGCTATATAAGTCCGGTTGGATCACTTGGTTGTAACGGTGCACAGCAGACAACAAGCGAAAATCGAATAAAAGAAATCAATGTTAACCAGCCATCGTGAACCGTTTCGATCAAAAATGAAACATGAGATAACTAAAATTCTTTATGTTTGACTGGAATTAGTCTTTTTCAAAGCCGATTTTGTGAAACTTAATCGGTTTTTTGTTCTATCGCCTATCCCGACCAATATTTTAGCCATGTAAGCTGAGAGGAAATAGTTTTTTACTAACCTGACTGATGAAGCGCGTGTCATCAGTGATAACCGACATACTTATTTCCGACCTGAGAGTGGCGTTTTCTAAATTACCATATCCTGGGGGCAAACGATCGTTTTCGTCGAAACTTCCTGAAATTTTCTTTCATAACTGTACAGTTCGAAAAATGATGTGAGATATTTTCTATTAGTATAGCTATATGCATATGCAAGAAGAAACAACCGCTAATTCATTGAACTGACTGAGAAATGATTCAATGTTGGAGAGCGACTGTCCATTCGCTCACACGTGATCTCCAATCGATATGCATAATCGATTTTATTCAAATTAGAAAGAGCCTTGGGTCAATACCTCCAATTTGGTCATTTGGTCCGTCGCTAACGTCATTATTGTCATAATAATAGTGTCCTGGCTGTGAAAGATGATAGTTCGGTTGAGAGTATCGTCTGTTTGACATTAGTATGACTTAAACATAACAGAGACGCCTCAGCCTGCAAAATAGTTGGTAATCGAACGAACTGAGGAGATTTCGACCTCGTTCTCAGTTAATGAATCAGGTGTTTGAATAGATTCAATAGAATAAATCGTGTTCAAATGAGAATTTGAGGCGTTATCAAGCAACATGTGTGTGATAAGAACTGTGATACTATGAAATTTTAATTCAGTAATTCGTACAAGAATGCATATGGTGGAAGTTTATTCATTTAACATGATTAACCGTGAATCATATCAACTCGTGCTTGAAGATACAAGCAATGCATCACATTAACAGTAAAGATCACCATGTTTGAATGTCATCGATAATAAATAATTTACAGTTGAAAACAAATTTTAAGATTACTGGCAATCTAAAACCCATGTTGCAGTACTAGAAGTTTGATAAAGCAGTCACACTACCGAGACAACACGCAAAAAAACAAAGGAAAGTAGGAAAAAATTGGTAATAAACCATATAACTGTTGAGGACATATACCAGTTTAGAATCAATATGAGCTAACCCGACGTCCTCGGACCATACTTCAGAAGAGAATGGTGATTTTGTATGACTGGGTAACAGAAACCAATGGCTTTCTGATAGTCAACGACTTCATATCACGATCGTAAGTGAAATAGAGTTTCTCAGTTGGGTCAGAAGAACGGATAATCTGAAAATTAGTATAAGAGCATGACTGTGACTTGATACAAACCGAGATATCTTGTGGTTCCTTGGTCAATCCACGGACTTCAATCTTCTCAATCCAGTTCATAGCTTCGAAAGAACCACCAGTTGGAACACCGAAGATAGTAGCTTCCTTAGCAGAAAGGGTTCTGAATAAATTCTTTATAAAAACCTGTTCTCGTTAATGTTTATACCTAAAATCAACAGATGCACTAGCGTAACTGTTTTGTTGGTAGTCATGAGTAGTACCGTCATCAATGTAGATGTTTCCACTAGCACTTCCCTGATCATCTAATGCAACATACAAAGTGAAAGGATCCTAGAATCAATACATTGGAGAAAATATATGAGATATATCCATACCTTCAACATCAAGCTAGCTGCCCTTCTGATACGTTGCCAGGTGGGTACAATGGTACCACCTCTTTGGAAAACTGGGATACTGTTGATTGGAGCATCAACGTATTGAGATCCATGAGTTCGGAGAACACCAGTTTCCCAGTCATACCATTTGGTTGACTGAAATTATCGTATAATTCCAAAATCTGAATGATGTATACTTTGTCGGATCCAGCTGGCAGAACAACGTTGGCGTTGTAGGTATCTTTATCAACAATAGGATGAACGAGCAAAGCGTTACCAAGCATGTAAGACTGAAAAAAATGAATTGAATGAAAAAATACTGATAAAACCGACTCTTTCTTCCTCAAGGAAAGACTCATCTTCGGGGAACTCATACCACAGAGGACGCATAACTGGGGCACCAGTTTGAGCATGCTCACGGAAAAGAGAGTACCTAAAGTCGAAAAACTATGAAGAGCTCCTGGAAAAATTCTAACCAATATGGCAATAAAGCATATCTTCTTCTGATGGCAGTTTTGATTCTTTCTCTGGTGTCATCAGAAAACACCCAGGGCTCTCTTCTTCTGGCATCAATATGAGCATGAGCTCTGAATAGAAACTTATTTTTTAGCATGAGTTTCAATCGAACCTGAAGAATGGTTGGAAAGCACCAGCTTGGTACCATCTTGTGATCAATTGCTCATCAGGGTTACCGAAGAAACCTCCAACATCAGCTCCGACAAACGGATTTCCAGCAACAGAAAGTGAGAGAAGCATAGGAATTGAAATAGCAAGATGGCTCCATTCAGCGGTATTGTCTCCAGTCCAAATGGCAGCAGAACGTTGTGTTCCAACGAATCCAGATCTTGAGAGAATTTATGCAAAAGTAAAAGATAGTTCAAGCAAACCTTGTCAATAAGAATGGTCTGTCGCGTCCACCAGTTCTTTGAATCAATCCTTCGAACGTAGCAGAGTGATAATAGAGTCCATACATATTGTGAACCTGAAAGAGTACTGTTTCCACTTTTTTTTCAAAGTTTGATTACCTCTCTATGTTCAATATTTCCATAGTGAATACTGTCTTTGTCCATAGTAATTTCTGGTCCACTGAACACCTAAAACAATTGAAATCATTGAGAAAAATATTCTTGGAGAACGAACAGATGGCTCATTCATATCATTCCAAATGAAAAGATTAGGAGAAGATCCAACATATCTATCAAACTTGAATTGGTTGATCCAATATTTGCGAGTCTGAAAACTCAGTATTGTTATGTAGATATAAGAACAATTACCTCTGGGTGGAGGAAGTCAAGATATTCAGAAGCTCCTGGCCAGCAATGTCCTTCGAAATCGGTAGTTCCGTCAGATTTTTTAACAAACAATCCTGAGAGAAGAAATAATGATAGAAAAGCAACAAAGCACAACCTAAATCTTTAGCATCCTTGTAAACACTGTAGCCATCATCTTTCTTGATATGAGGATCAACAATGGTAACCATTTTTCTTCCCTGAACGTACAAATCAGCATACGAACATGATAGTTCAACATACTTTAGAAGCAACTTTGCTAATCATGTCATCTGGGTGTGGGAACTTATTCTTGTCCCAAGTGAAGTATCTCTTTCCATCAGTGTGCTCGATATCAAGCCAAATGACATCCATAGGAATATCATACACATCGAACTTCTCATTAACCTTAACATAACTTGATAAAAAAATTATTGCCGTGTCATTCTACCTGAGCGACATCTTGCTCATCATTGTAATTCCATCTACACTGATGATAAGCAATAGCGAACATTGGTGGAAGAGGAGCGACCTAGAAAAAATCAACTATAATAAGAACAAATAGCCATGGAAAAACCCCAGTGATTTCTGCCAATCCTTTCTGGACATCAAGAGGGTTTGGTCCAGTGAAGAAGAAGATATCAACTAATCCTGATTCAGAAATGAAATGAGCATCGAAATGGGGGATAGTATCTCCAGAAACGACTTTGTCAACCAAAGATCTGAACATTCCTCTCGAAGAAGCAGATGAGCTAGTATCAATCCATGTTTCAGCTGCATTAAGCCTGAAACAATACAAATTATTTTCGTGTACCCCCTTTGCAAATCTTTTCACAATGTATGTATTTCTTGAGTTACTCTCTCCACTTTCTTATCAGTATTCACATCATAGCGCGCAATCGATAGGGATCGATTGTAATATATTTGATATCAGAATGTCATAACAAACGAACCAAAGAGCTCCAACAGTTCTACTTGCTTTGTGAGCAACGATATATGGGATAGCGACATACAAAGCCATTGGGTTGTTAACCTCATATTCGAATACATCCAAATTGTAGAGCCTGAATTCATAAAAGATAAATTTTAATAAAGAATTTTTCAAACCTGTAAGGATCTGTGTTGCCAACAGTAGATTTCAAAGCAAAACTATCAGCGTGTTCTGGCAAACCGTATGCAGTACGGAAACCGACGAATGATACATCAACCTATTTAGAAATTATCAACAGATTATTGACTAGTCAAAAATAAAACATACTCCAACACTGCTTGATCCGAAAGGTTTACTGTCTTTGAATTGCTTGAACGACTCTTCCCAGAAACCTTCTGGGTATTCCTTTCCATCATCGCGGTTGCGGTACTCTTCAACCTGAAAATCTTTATGTAAAGGAATAAACGATGTGATCAAACCTTGAGCTTGCCGTCTCTGTTAACTTGTCCAACAAGTTCATCAAATTCGTTATAAATATCGACAACGAATGGGTTATAATTAACAACAACCTATAATGCATACACATTAACCCGGAGAACTAGAAAGAGCAAACCTTTGTCTTCTTGTTCTGAGTCAAAAGGGTAGTTGATGAACTTTCAATTTTGACAGAAGCAAAGCTTGCCTTAAATTAAAGATTATTGCTGAGAATATCAGGAACAGAATCACTTGTTTAGGTTCCCCATTCAGAGCAAATGTTGGAACAAATCTTTTGCGAATGGCATCTTGAGTTTCATCAATTTGAATTCGCACGGAAGACTGAAATCGTTTGATCAATTTTTATAACATGAAGAAAATGAATTCTACCTCCAAACCATAAACTCTGAGCTCGAGCGTATTGTCTGTATTTCTGATTTTACCTACAACTAAGCTACTAGTCTGTTGGGATACGGATTGCTCAACCACCGAGTATCCAGTGTTTTCCTGCAAAGATGAAAATAAGAAAGAAGAGAATGAGAATCAAAACTTACTGTTATAGCACGATGTCTTTTACAGAATGCTGATTGATCACATGTTTTAAAATCATTTCTGTTAACGGCAAAGCATAGGTTAAATAAAAATATGAATAAAACGCCCGTTTTCATGATGGATAAACACCTCTACCCTAGGTGTATCCCTGAAAATAACAGTTTTAATATAATATATCGTATACGTAAGACTTGAAATAATGTTCAATGAAACTATATAGTGGTATAGACTTATATGCCATGTAATAAGCTAAGCGTTCGTTCATTCAAAAATGGTCTAACACACGTCAGCATAACCTTATCTACCGTATACCAAAAATCTTTTCTACATGGCAGTGAGACATGAGTCGTATGTCCTTTGCTTATAAGGTCATCATTGTTCACAAATACTAAACAACTAAGTAAAGAATCAAATATAAGTAATGATTGCAGTAACAATCAATGATCGTTTTTTGCAAAAAGAGTAATATCGTTCTACACCGTGAGATATGGAAATGATTCTCGTTAATAATATGCTTTATGTTGTCGACCTCTGGCTTTATTGGGAGAGGTACATGAACAAACAACATTTGTATATCCATATAATATATGGCACGATTAGCAATGAGCAATTGGATCAATATTGCCAACCGTTCACATCATGAGTCTTATGATAAATGAAAACAACAATTTCACGTGGGACGTAAGTACTTCCCACGGAATACGTGGGATGTTTCATGGAATTATTGTTGTACCATTATTATAACTATGAACTTCGACCCCCAACATCTTTATTTTTCCTGCTCAACTTCTAACAGAATTTGAACGAACTTAGTATTTGGATCAAAAAATGATGAATTGAATTGTTAGCCGGTTCGATGGATATGTAGTGCTTCGAGACGGTTGTCCAGTGTATTTGCCCTGCTCTCAGACAGCCTTCTCCGTCCAAACGAACTCCTTCGGTCCGCTATGCCGGCCGGTTTCGACTGTCTTCTAATTGACATGATGTTTCATAGTTTCCTCCTATATTTCATCGGTCTCTCCAACGTGTTAAGCATTATTTCTTTTTTTCTATTACACTACCACTAATCGAATTTTTTATTGGCTAGTGGACACTGAATAAATCGTTATCTGTCTGTTTAGCTTACAACTTTCTTTTTTTCATTCTCATCTCTCGATTAAACTAGGATCAATCTTTATTGCTCTCAAATCAGAATAGCAACAATCAGGAAGGCACAACTATATTATTCAAAATAGAAGTAGTAGAAATCATTATCAAAACAAGCTTGAGAGCTAGTTCGCTAGTAGTTGAAGCAACTGCTTGCTCATCCAGGCATTTGTTTAGTGCACCTGAAGTTACCAGCCCAGTCTTTTATTAGTGAAAATAATATTTTCTACGAATTCAAAGTAAACTTATGTCAACCTTTGGTTGAGGTTTTCGGAAATTCAGATGATTGACGCAAAGAAACTTCATTCGTTGATGAAAAGCTTCTATTTGTTTTCCACAAAACTTAACCTATATGCTATTCATCATCATAAATAAAGGATACAATCATTCTTAAATACTCTATGATTTCTTCTCAGCTGGTCATTTTTAAGTTGGCTCCTCTGTTCCGTTGTAATGAAGGGTAATTTCCTAGTCTTCTGATCTGCGAGTGGCTTATTTTCTATGGCAGAACAACTGATCAGAAGTTCTAATCAAACTCGTCACTTCACATTTCATTTGTTTCAATTGATATGATATCATATTCTCGCATCTCTATACTATTTCATTGAATTTATGAGTATCTCATTTACTTAAAATTACATCACTTATCTGTCTTTTAAAGTTGTTCGAAATGAAGAGAGAACGAATGCTTGTATATCTCTTTCTCTTTGATTATTCAACGACTCATCATAATTCTTGCGCATCACTTGACATTCTTGACATTTTGATTTGAATAAATTATAATTGAATCTTTCATGGTGTTTAACCTCTTCTTTATAATTTTTTTTCATCTCAAACAGTTTCTCCTGATTAAGTATACTATATCTCATATGAAACAAGATATGATCGAAGCTTCCACTCCACATGTATGAAAGCATTTTCAAAGTTGTTCAGAAGATCTTATACTTAGCATCGTTGGTCGTCATTTTCACACTTTTTTGTCGACGTTATTTGCTTTATAGTCCAGCTTTCAAATTCATTCTAACTTTCTTATTTATGATGTGCAGCTTCGATTATTTTGATTCAAACACTTTGCAGCAATCTCAAAATGATTGGCCAAACTCGTAGACCGTTAGAGCGTAAAAGCAGCTTCATAGATGAACCAGTGTTTGACAAAGGTATGTTACTTGTATTATTATGCTATAAATCATTTTCTCATTCTAAGGAAGACGATCCAGCATTGAGCAATTGTCGAAAGCTTCACCGTTTGGCCAAATGCTCGAAAACGTAATGATTTATTGGTTTCACTGTATAAACGTGTTGTTCAGGTGAAGAAGCTGGCCAGTTCTAAAGGTTTATGGGATGATGAAATGCAACGTGATTTACCAAAAAAGTGGGAGAAACACGGTGATATGATTGTGTTTCCACAAAATTCGTTCACTCATGTAAACTGGAGATACATAGGTAGTCGTTGTTCCAATTTCATAACTGATTATACGTGTTCTAAGGGAGAGAATTATGGAAAGTTGTTGCTGATTCTTTGAAAATCAACAGACTTGGACGTAAAAGGTTGATTGCTAACGACTCCGAAAGAACCCCACATGTTGATATACTATTCGGAGATCATGGCTGGGTTGAATACGTTGATGAACGTGGCATTAAGTATGTTTCACGTTTTTTCACATTAGCATAACTACGAAACACGTGGTAGATTACTCTCATTTTCATCAAATTAACAAGTGTTGACGGTTGTGCAGCTGTGTTTGATTTATATCCTACGACCATTGACTTCTATTCTTAAGGTACAACTATGATGCTTCTAAGAGGGTGTTCAATAACTCCAAAAACCGTGAGATGCAGAGAATTGCAAGCTGGGATTGTCATGCTGAGATTATTGTTGATATGTATGCAGGTGAGGAAAATCAAAACTTTATGAACTTTTTTCCTTTCTCAGGTCTTGGATACTATACTTTCCCTTTCCTCTTGTCTTGTCATGCCAAAAAAGTATATGCGGTTGACTGGGACGAAGATATGATTGAATCCTTATTACGTTCCGCTACAGCCAACGATGTTATGGATCGTATTGAGATTATACAAGGAGATGCCAGAAGAGTTTGTTGACAGAAAAATACAAAAAAACACTCTCATTAATTTAGGCTACTCCACAGGGTGTTGCCGATCATGTGTACCTAGGCTTGCTGCCTTCTTGTCGTGCTCATTGGCTGACTGCTTGCAAAGCTCTTAAGGTAAGTGTGATCAATCTGAATCTAGTCCTCGAACATGATGTAATCCTTATTCAGCCAGAAGGAGGTGTTATTCATATCAATGATATAATTGAAACTGGGAAAAGACGCGTGCCCAAAAAGGAAGTTCGCAAGAAGTACGTTTATCAGAATATCTAATTTCTCTATAATTACGCTCAGACCACTTATGAAACTACCTTCAGTCGGAGAGGAGGGACCCTCAAAAGAAAAAGAGAATGAACCTGAACCATCTCCTGTTGTGAATACAGATGGTAAGAAAGCAATTAAAGAGCAGTTGAAATAAAACTTTGAAAGTTTCAGATCAAAGCCATCCGACATCAGACGCTGTTGATGCCGAGCCTTCAGCAGATGGTGAGGAGCAGCCACTTAAGCGAAAGTTCTCAAGATCTGCTTCAATCGTTGAGGAAATGGAAAATCGCATATTTCCCGAACCTAAGGTTTGAGAGATGTTAAACGGCTAAATCGAAACTCTAATATATCAGCTTCTGAAAGATTTTGAGGAAGGTGCATGGAAGAAGCTTGAAGCATGTTATAAAGAATATGCGATGGAATGTGCAACCAAGTAAGTTACTGTATCTGATGTACTTGCTGACTTTCATTTGCAGTTGCACACGATTCTTGAACAATATAAACTTGTCTGACACAATGTATTGTGTAGCCATTATGAATATGACGAGGTATTTCAGTATTTTGTGCGATATGCATCCATTCATCTTCTAGGTATGGCAATACAACACCTAAAACAGATCATATAGTCCTTGATATACTATGCTGTAGAGAAGGAGACTCCATTGAGAAGTTGGCTGCAAAGTTCTTAAATACCAATTTTTCATCTTGAACATAATGTCAATACATGAACATAATTATTTATATGCCTTTGAACCTTGTCAGTTATCATTCAATTATCACTGCTTAATTGTAAAAAATTCATAATAGCATATCAATAATGTACAGAACTTGTTTTCCAATCAGACCTCCTTCTTTTCTCATCAGCTGATGTGATTTGAATTACTGGAAGACTCTAAATAAATTTGTGTCGATTATTCAAAATGCAATCAAATAATATACTTGACGTCTGAGGAAGAAATCTGCCCTATGTTTAGGAGGTGAGAAGATGTCGTCCTTAGAATCAACTATAGATGAACGATCTTCACATTCTAAAAAAAAAGTGCAAAGGAAGTTCAGAGCTTTAACCTGGTTCTAGTTCTGTGAGAGTAGGTGCAGGCTCAAAATTAATACGAGAAAGGATGGAAGAACGGTGTCTGAGAGAATGAAGAATCACAGTGCTCATTGAGAACTCAATATGAACCTTCGATCTATCGGTGGTGATAATGTTTTCATGTTTGCTTCTGGATACGAATTAAGATTTGAAGCATCCAAATTTTTAGTTACTTCCGGATCACGATTGGAAGCATCCCTGTAATTTGAATGAAGAGCTTCCATTCTTACTTACCTCAGATAGTTCAAGAATCTCTTCCTCGATTTCCTGTTTTCTAATTTGAAAATACGATTGGAAAAACAAAATCCTACAGAACACATAGATAGAATGAGGAAAAATGCTGGAATATACTATTGTGTGATATTTCAGTGAATATTAACAACTGAGGAAAAATCCATTCAACAAAAAGAACCCCAGAAGCATCAGTTGACTTGAGGAAGGATAGTTCTTATCATAAATGAAAGCACTTATCATGGTTTCCTAAACATGGTATATCTGAGTGAATACATGAGAACGAACCTCTTTTTTAAGAAATCCTGTTAATTTTTGACATCCATGTTCCTCTCCACAGTTGTCAATCCCATCACAGAGTTGATCACGCGGTAGACAAACTTTTGGGCAATCATCTTTACTTCATGTTTCATTGTTAAAATTCTCAACATACTACTTCTGCTAAGACAAATAAAGTTGTTACATTGGAAGGTTTCTTCGGAACACGGAACCAGTTCGGAGAATACAAGACGAGATCGAAAGTTCAAATTCAAAGGAATCTCAACAGTGACGGGTCCTTTCATCAAACGGTAACTCTAAGATTATAAAATATAAAAAAAGGAAAGAAGAATACTGAGAAGTACTCTTGCAGGATCATTGCTGTCCATACGAATTATGAAAGACTTATTCGGTTCATGTAGAATGATCTCTCTTGATTTCGTTGGTTGGCGTTTAGCAAAATGAAGAAAGGTCGCAACAGATACTTCAATTTCCTTATTATAATTAGTAGCTGAGAAAACAAACCTAAGAAACTTGCTGACTTTCTACTTGGGTTTAACGTGAAAACACAAGTTTTGATGGGTGTTAAGCGATGTGAGGTTTGAAATTCGTTCGTAGAAGTTTTGAAAACAGACTGCACTGTGAGATTTCTACAATCATATGAATATGGCGCAAGCTAAGCGCTGAACGTTACCCTTCATATGGACAAGCTGATAAGATGATTTGAAAGTTGAATATAAAAAAATAAAAGTGAAAAAGAAGCTTCTTCCTCATATTGAACTTCCTTTATTGGATATGTGGCTGATTCCATAAATATAGCTCAAGAATGACTTTCCCATCTGGAACCTCTTGAACGTAAGATATCCTAAGAGCGCATATAAGAAGTCAAAAAACTTTTCAATATTTATTGAAATGTCAAATTCATATTACGAAAGCCATCTATAATACTTTTCTCTTTTTCATTTAGAATGAAAACATGATATGAGTTCATCTGTAATCTCATAAGATCGAAGCGCTCTACAGCTCGTTGTATTTAGAACGTAGATGTCGCTGCTCCTTGATTGTCAAAATATATTTCATCAGGCTGTAAGTTTCTTGGCACGCGAACTCGTGGCTTTTCTCGTCCACCCAAGGCAACCTGAATATTCACGTAATGCCACATTTCACGTCAAACACGAGGAAGGTCATTTCTACCATATTCAAAAACTTGAACGGTTGTTGTTTGTAAAAATGACTCTCAATTTCTCAATCTAGAGTTAAGAAAAAAAAAAAAACTAACTTCAAGATCAATATCGGGATAAATCAAGTCAACATGAGTGAACTTCTGATTGTCTAATAGCTCTTTAGACAAGCTTCGCGCATTTAGGTCCGAATGTTCATACCAATGATGGCGTATGTCTAGAACTCTTCATCTTCATAAAAAAAAAATAAACAAAAAACAACTTCCAGCTTGGTCCTTGACAGAAATTTTAACTTTTGCGAACTCTATGTCAGAATAGCGGATGAGCAAAACAGATCGAGGAATGTTACGTAGTAAGCTTTCAGCGTCTTCTTTACTACAAAATCCGTAAATCAATCTGAAACGGTAGTGCTTCTACGATCTGATTCGCCTCAAACCCTACCCATCATACCACATACTATATAGATACTTGTTCGTTATTTCCGCAAGCTTGAAGAACCAATCAAAAAATGGAACGAGCTTCCATTCACCATCAGTGGATGATGCTTTTTTTAATTGGTAATCTTCAGCTACTGATAACTGAAAAGAGAAACATCAACAGATAGTTTGATAAGGAACTACCTTCATGAAATTGTCCAGAACAATGAAACCTTGATTGTTTGGTTTCAGCCTGTTAATTAAGTGTTGTTTTGTCTGAAGGATTATGACATCATCAATTCAATCAGCTCGTGCAAAAGACAACCTGCATAGCAAACATCCGTGGTTGTACTACAGCTGGTCCGTCAGAATTTTTTTGAGGTGTTTCCACTATTGCCTAAGGAAATTATATAATCAATATTACTTCGATTCCAACTTGAAATTTCATTTCTAAAGCATCAGCCATCTCCGCACAGGACACAACACTTGGAATATCGGAGAGCGGGTGTCGAACCTTGAAAGAAGACGTTCTTCAATAACAACCAAGATTTTTCGTTTACCAAATCAGCGAATGATCTTTCCAAGAATAGACGAGCTTCAACATCAGATTTCGGCCCTACCAATACAGCAAATGGTAGTGAAACCTCCAATTGTCAACATTCATTATGAGTTTTAAATAAAGCAAAACTTTTTTGCCAACTAGTTCCATTCCACAACTAGTCCTTAGTCGAATACTATAGCACAAGCAATACCTCCTAGTCGCAACTGAATCTCTTCTTAGCTGTACCTTTTTTGCGACTCGCTATTAAGTAAGAAGTTGAGGGAAGCAATATTTAGTGTTCATACCATATCATCAAATTTAGCTCTCAAGCCTCTTGTATCTTTTTTCAGGAAAGTTGTTTTCTGAGGTTCGATACAGAACTCTTCCGATTCGAATCTGAATAGAAACTCTCAATGTACGGCATTTTCACTGAAGTTTACATATCGAGATAAGCATTATTCAGCAGCTGCTTTGCCGTTTCTTCTGTTATCAAATAACATTGCACTTCTTGTGACTCTCCTAGCGATTCTATTCCAAATGCTTGACCACCCAAAACTCTATAAGGCAGATTAGGTTTCATAGCTCTTGTTGTACAAACCTAATTTCTGTGTTGAACCAAAACCGACTCCTTCGATGATTTTCTGCTTCTCCACATTTTACTACCACTGATGGTGGCTGTCGGCTGACTATTATAGAGTAATATAAGAAATAGTGAGCCATGTTTCGGAACTTGTTGTATGCCTTTAAGTTTTCGTTATAATGTATGTCTTTCACATTGAATAACCTCTTCTACTTGAGGTGAATTGAAATACTGTTTCAAATAAGTAAGTCCTGATAACGTTTGCTGTAGTAACTCTCCAAAGTATTCGAATCTGTAGTAAATAAGTTTTCAACCGTACTACTTCACTTATCGAACTGTAGGTGAATGGTATCCAGCTGCTTGTAATGCAATTGCTGTGTCCATAGTGTACCTATGCTAGCCTGCAAAAGTAAAGGAGTGAATTCACTTTCTATAGAAAAACTGCTAAGAGACATTTTAATTGGATCATGACCTAACTCAAAAAACGAATCGAAGTAAAAAAGAGCAACCGGTTGATCAATCTGCTAGGAGGAGGAATGAAAACGTTCACGTGCCTTACGTGAATAATATAAACGTAATATCAAACATCTTGATGCATGATGTTCTACCAATTCTCATCTCATCTAGTTCAAAATGAATTGCAAGACAGGTCAAATGTTCCCTGGTTGATAGGATGAAGAGATGAAATGATACGAAGAATTGAAGATGAATAAGAAAAGTGAGAAAAGAAACAAAGAACTTCAATTAAATCAAAGCAAATCGCACACCTTTTGCTGTTTTATTGCCCACGTTAAGAGTACATTTCCCATAAGATGTTGTTTTTCTTCCTCATAAACAGCAAACAGATTTTCCAGAGTTGTCATTATTTTCTGAACAAGAGCATTTAGTGATGTTTTGAGAATTTTCAGAGTAAAGTAGGGCAAATCTGTTTTTATTAACCTGCATGAATGCTGGTTGATTCATTTGGGGAACATTTCCTGCAAGAAGTGCATCAACGTCTTCTTTGAAAGTCTGAATTTGTGACAGCACATAGAGCGGTTGGCCATACTGTTAACCCACTTGATAAACCTCTGCACTTTGATTGTGCCGACATACAAAACTGCCATCTATGGCAGGTTCAGATGGTGAGAAAGCAGAAGAACTTTCCATATCCACATCTGAGAGAGCGCCTGTTACCGACATCCTAAAAACATCATTGGATGGCTTGGAATGGTTGCAAGAAGGTTATGAAGAATCACTCCAGACTTTGAAGGAAACAAATAACAAATAGCAACATCATTCTTTCATGAATAGTGAGCAAGAAAAGAGTTAATTTCATAAACTTCATAAACAAATTGTCATGTTAATATGAAAAGGCTACAATCAATAATAGCAGGTTTGTGGGGGTCACGGGAACAACCATGAAGGTAGTGGTGGTGAAAGTTGCTGTCATGTTGAGAGAAGACCCAGAACCCGTCGTGACGATGCATCTTATCGCGCAAGGAACAATGGCAAACCGGGTGGTTAGTCATCACATTTGTTTCCATAAAGCTAAACAAAACAGAGAGAATTAAAAATTTCGCTCCCGGGTGGGCTCGAACCACCAACCTTTCGGTTAACAGCCGAACGCGCTGCCTATTGCGCCACGGAAGCACGTAACAGTTAATAACTTTGTATATCACGAATTCGGAGATGTTTCTTTATCGAAATTACCAGCAATACTTAGACGCGTCATAAACAAACTGATTAAGCATGTAAAGTACATCAAAAAGACATAAACAAGCTGCTTTCATTCAGCAAATAATTGAGTCAGCTGAATGAAACTCGTTAAAAGGAGGTTTCCACCCAAAACGTTACTCCATTTTGAGCTCATCAATGTTTTCACTGTCTACGTTCTGCACACCTATCTTCATTCTTGTACTCCTAAGTACTTTATGTTACTCTTTGTAAGTTTTTGAGAGCTTATCAATTCTTCGAAATGTTTCATTTCTAGATACATTCCCAACTCCAATAACCCTCGGGGTAACAAGCATTTCAATGAAGACTTCTCCTCGTATTTCCCAGACATCGAAATTTACATCCCTTGAAGTTACTCATCTCGAACTCAATATTTATAACTCCTACGCAATCTCATAAAACAGTTCCTGACTCAATCAAAGCAACGGCAGCTGCGAAGTTCTCCACACAGTTCCTTTGTTCTATTGGTATCTTCAGCTCATCACCTAATTGTCATGAACATTTTGAACTAAGTATTAATAAACCTTTACCTTCTCTATACTTTCCAGTTTTGACTAAAATACCTTTCAAACCAGAGTTTAGAGCACCCAAAATGTCGTCAGTCACATCATCTCCTGAAACAGTCTTCTGAACCACATTGCTTCAACAACTTACCAATCATGATTGTGTTTTTTAGATCAATATCAACTCCCAACGTACTTATTCCCATCTCAAAAAACTTGCGACTTGGTTTCCCCACCACAGTTGCCTGTGAAACAATTTAATTAGGAAACAAATATTCCAGTAAAACCTGTTTTCCTGACGAAAACTCTAGGGCTGTTACAAAAGGACCGGGCCCAAGAGCAAGTCCATCACTTCGCTTGTAGTATTTACCTTTATGAATTGCAATTAGTTCGCAATCTATGAAATAGAAAATTCTGGAGAACTTTTCTCTTCAAATTACCACCCAATAGCAGATTGAATGCTTCATTCATTCGTTCAAAATAGAAATGGGAAGGAGCCAAACCAACGACAACAGCGTTCGGATTGGCGCAGTCGATGTCTAAAAATAGAAAGACAAACATTTTTTCCAGTAAAAACCTTCGAAATCCTCAATCGCTTCCTTTTCCAGCATCAACATAGGTCTCAACTGTTTCTCTTCAACTAAACTGTAATTGGGGGCGGTAATTAATTAGGAATGTCCTCTAAGACCTTTTAGCCGCCAACAAGGAAGAAAAAATTTCTTTTTTTTCAATTGAAAAGCCACATCGTTTCAAACGAGCCTGAAGAATGTTCGCAGACTCCTGAAACTTCCTTTTCTGAGAATAAATTGAAGGAGAACTCTTGCTTTAGTCGTGTTTGTGATGAACTTTATTGGAAACAATTTCCTCAACTTCTCAAGAGCTTCTATTGCCCCGTGAGTAACTTTGTCCTCGATGTGCAGAGTTCCAGACAAATCTATGAGGACAGCAGCTCGTTTCATGGCCATGGATCTCTGAACTACATAGTTACACACTATATGAAGTTTTATGTTTAGGAAAATAAAAGTAAAAAACAAACGAAGAAAAAAAATATTTATAACATCTCATAAAGATTCAAATCAAATTGAGTTCGTATTTACAGCATTCAGTAAGTTAGTAAGATTCAGGAATCATTTGTGAATGTGTTAAGCCTTGAGAAACAAGCCATTCGTTTCCTCGTGAACAAACGACATCGAGCAAACGCTTTCGTAGCGCAACGAAAGCTCGCTTGAATTCTATACCATCACCGCGAGATCTAAAAAATGCTCTTTTTATAGAAAATATGAAGTTACATGTATTACCTTCTAATGTCAACCATCACTTTACGTACTCCTCCCTCTACCATTTCAATCACTGTTATAATGAAAGTTATCTCACGATGCGTAACCAAAATCTGTAAAAACATTATAACCAATTCAGTTCTGAAAACGACTTACGTGACAAGGAGGGTGATCTTTAGCTTGAAATCCACAATCCTCACATGCAGCATACAGTCTTGGTATGATCTCGGACTTGGATACAACCACCAGGAATCTTGTCATACGCCGAACCAAGTTTAGAATAGGGTCCTGAAGAAGAGTGTCAACCAAATAAACTAACTTTGAACTGACCTGATGTTGTGAGAATTCCGATATTTGACTGTTTGAGAGTAGAAGATTATCCGCAGAATCAGGTTGAGAGAACGAAATATTCTGGATAGTGCTGGTGATAATTGCATTCATCCTATTTGATATTTCAATAGGTTGAGAAACAGTGTCCCTGAAATAAAAACTTTTCTGCAAAGTAAAGGAGATTGAAGCAAACTCGAGATCAGGAATTAGCTTTCTTCTCTTAGCGCTTGGAATATGAGCAGAATCTGTAAACATGAAGTCAGTTACATTAAACTAAGCTAGACATACCAGTTTTGAAAGTACACCATGGATGATTTTTAATGCGATCAAGATCGGCTCGATTTTTCGTATTCTCAGTTAGTATAATCCGTAGAAGAGCTAAGAAGACGGTGCTCAATGACAAGAAAGATTTCACTCACATAAAGCGTTGTTGTCAATCTTCTTCCAGGGATTCAAATTAAGGCTTGTGCTGTTGATCCATCCTTGATATGAACTAACACTTCTACATGAGGACAATCAATGAAACCTCATGCTTATGATACAAACTTTTTAGGTGCATCCCAAGGTAATTCGCCAGCTAGAAGTGTGACTAGTACTACACCGCAAGACCAAACATCAGCTGGTGGTCCTCTGAACAACTTAATCAGCCATAGCTTTCATGGTAACTCCAACCTGTAAGACCCTGTTAGAACTTCGGGCGCGACGTAAGGGAGAGTTCCGCAAGATGCTTGGAGCTTTCGCTCTTTGTTGTTATGTCGGAAAACAGTTGCCATTCCAAAATCAGAAATTTTGAGAGTGTCTTAACCATATCGAGTTAAAAAAATATCCTGACCGTGAAATCAACCTCGTTTTGTTAATAATAGATTTTCAGGCTTTATATCTCTGTGAGCAATACCATGACCATGTATAAAAGAGAGACCATTCAATAGTTGACGGAAATAGAATTGAGCTCTATGAACAGGCAAGCCAACATCAGGCTCTGAACACATTGAAATTCTCACTTATGAATAATACGAAATGCACTTGCCAATTTGATCGAAGATTTCGCCACCATCAGCATATTCCAAGAATATTTGATATTGATACAAGTTGTGATCCATTCGTATTCCTATGTACCTTATGACATTGTCGTGTCCTTCACTCGACAATCTTTGTTGTATTAGAGCCTAAATCACCTTTTTTTATGGGAGAAGCTAGAATATCATAAGCACCTCTTTCTTGAACTCATTCAGAAGGTTTGCATGTTTCCCTAGATCTAAACATTTCATAGCAACGGCAAAACTTGGATTTTTAGAATCTACAACAAGCTTAACTTCTCCAAAAGCTCCTATATACATGAGTTTATGATAAATGCCCAAGAAATTATTCAAACCTTCTCCCAATGTACGGACGATTTGGAAATCCATCGCAGAGTTAAGATAAGATTGGTAGTTTTGCGAAGGTCCATTTGCGTTCAACTAAACGCGATAGTAAAATTAACGAAGAATTTTTGAACAAATAAAACCTGTGAGTGAGGGTTAGGTGAAGTTGCTACTTCCATATTTCAAGCATAAAATTGAATTAGTAATTATAATATGGCCAGCTAGGAACAAAAACTTGATTTTACCGCCAATGACCCTATTACGTATTTCATGAGTACCGTATACTATAATCAGAAACAAATGGTGTCGAAAGCTTTATTCGGCTGTTATTGAAGATATATGTCTGGGAAAATACATTTCTCATGAGCGGTTTGATGTGACATGATAAACAATCAAACAATCAAACACTTCGTGTCTCAAAGAAAATACAAAAGAACTAATCACGCTCTAAGGTTTTACATATGCTGATTAGCTTCTTTAAGGTTTTTTTGGCTTATATAGGTGTTCATAGAATTTTTTTGAATGTTATGTTACATAAGTAAGTGATAGATAATTTGGTCTCTAGCATCTTCCGCATGTTCTGGGACATTGTTGAGTCATCAACGTGTAGTAAGAGCTGTTATTACACAAGTACGCAAGTCTGGTACAGTCCGAAACTCCTGTGGAGGGATTGGTCTTGTCAACACAAGCTATAATTCAGAGTTTTGAATTGAATCTATCTTAGCTCAATCTTACTTGTGGCAGTGGTGGTGACAGTGGTCACACTGCATCTTCCACAAGTTCTTGGGCATTGTTGTGTCATCAAAGTGTAATAAGTTGCGTTGTTACATAAGTATGAAAGTCTGGTACAGTCCGAAACTCCTGTGGAGGGATTGGTCTTGTCTACACAGGTGGTAGTAGCGGCTATAACCTATAAAAAAAATTTAAAAATGAGTCAGTTCAGTGAAACATTACATTAGCATTTAAACAACAAATGGTTGATGAGGTAGTGCAGGTGTATCCGGTTTGGCAAGTGTTGGTAGCGCTACAAGCTGAATAGAAAGGTCAGTAAAAAGCTATCAGTAGTTTTTGTTTTTTTTTTATTTCTCTCAATGTGAAAGTGAGAAGATTAGAAAGCAGATTAGATGTTATACTTACGTCCAATTCCAGTGTTGCTACATGTTTGTGCAGTAACTGTTGCGAAGAGAGCGAAGAAGCAGATAATTAAAGCTGACATGTTTAACCTTATAGTTCAATCATAAATTTTTCCTTTATATAGGCTCTTGTCTCGGATAAACTTTAGTCTCGCAGAATAAACTTCGGATTTCCAAGAGTCATTTCAGCTGGGAAAAAATTAACTTTAAATAATGGAAACGTAGAACAATGAACGATATCATCCGAGTAGGCTGCCAGCTTTGGGGGACTATTTCAGCAGACAGTTTGTTCAGCTTCATGTTAAATGTGTTTCTTTTCAAGTTTGTCTACTCATTTGGAACATAGTTTTTATCTTTATTTCTACTTTAACTGACCTCTTGAACTTCCAACGACCACAAATAAACAAACTTCTCCGTTTTACTTGACTTTCTCTTTTAAATTTCCATGACATTATGTAAGACCATTTGGCCTCATGTATTCCAATCTTATTTGCTATTCTTCTGTCTGTATTTCTATGTAGTCTATTTCCGGTGCTTGTTTGACTTCCCATCACCGTCCGTTCAAATCACGGGTAAGATTTTCGAAGAGTTTCTGAACCTGCTCTTATAGGGAATCTTTCGCTTCCTCTTGCTCTTTCTCTCCTTTTTTTTTCTGTGTGTCTTTTCAAGCAAACTTCTCTCACCTTTTATGTACATTAATGACCTTCATAAGAAAAATCCGGAATCCTGCACCGAGTCAACTCTAGCTTCAATTCTAAAAATACAAATCTTGAGTGTCAAATAAAATGATTCAGAGCATTTGCCAGAAGCATCGCCTTCATTCCAATCATCTTCTTATTCTACATTATCCGGAAAAACAAGTGAATTATCTTCAAAACATCTAGAATGTTTCAAAAAAAATTTCCCACTCTGCAGGTGTCCAATCAAGCAATGTAACAGAGCTATCTTACAGAGAAGAAAGAGCAATTTGACTATTTACTCAAAAAAGTGAACTATCATTGCTTGTGCAGCTGACTAGCTTAATTGCACTCCTACTTCATACAATAATGTTGAATTCCAGAGCGTTCGGTGTTAACCAACTGTTTTGCCACAGAATGTATAAAAAAATTATTTGCTTGCATGATAAGACTGCATGTAGACACAAACGGCTTTTTGTTTCGCTTGCCGCCAAGTCTTTTAATCTATCAAATTTGGTCTTATACATAATGGTCAACAAACATCGCCAACCAGTTTAAATATGTTTGAAAATCTGCAATTAGTCTGAAAACCTCAGAAATAAACACAATGATTGCCGTACCAAAAAAAAGAATGCAAAACAAGCAAAAAAAAATTTTAAACCGGAGCATGATAATCAGATAAATGATGAGAAACACTAAACAAAATCATATGTAAACAATGATTTTCAGATCATACGAAAAGGAAGTCATTGTCGTTCATTTTTAGAAGACAAAAGAAAATTCTCTGAAGTATAGTGTTCATATCAACAAATGTTATGTCAGATTAATGAAAAGCTGCTCCTGCTGCTGGTTCTTCTTCATCTGAAAGCTAAATAATCAGGAAAACTTCAAAAACGAATCAGAAAAACGGAAGAAAACATATAATTTGGAGATTTATTAAGATTAAGATGATCCAACCGATCATGCGCAGAACATAACTCAAATGACGTTGATTCGCATAAGCCAACTGACGTAATCTGAAGCCTTCCACGTAAAAAGAGCTCTATGAATTATGCAAATGAGATGAAAGAACAAGAGAATATTAAATTATCTGAGGTATGATCTGAGACAAAAAACACAAGAAACCTTAAAGCAAATCATAGGATGTTTGTTGTGCATATCTTCTTGAGAGGTGTAGATGACGGTTGAAAGGTTGCATCGCTAATTATTGAGTTGTCATCGAATTGTCTTTGTTATTATGATGATGTCGGAGAGTTTTCACTCCGATCAACACATATTATTGTTTTATAGCACTCTGCTTGTTATCGCTCTTTATTCTGTTTAATTTAAATGTCAAAATTGAATGATCTTGCCTGGGACAACGATATGATCATTTTGTATTTGTTGTTTCAATTCATCTGTTTGATCTGAGCACACAACCGTCTTAACATGCTCAGATTTTCTCTTCATTTTCATACTCTTCTACAATTCGTCATTGTTCAAGACTCTTGCTCTCTTTCTTTCAATCATTTCTCTTCTCTCCAATGTCCCTTTCCATCATGCATGTGGTCACTTCTTTGCTGTCTATCTGATTTGTGTTCTAAATGTCTTTCTCAGATGTCTAACAGACCTACCTCATCTTTCCTTCTCTCCATCTCTCACTTTCTCGTCCCTGTTTTAGGTTCTGTTTTCTTTGCTCGTCCTGAGGTCTAAGTCCGTACCGGGTCTCTTTGACCCCGCCCTTGTGCCTTCTAGTGATATTTAAGGATTCTGCCTGTCCTTTCTTCGCTAAATAGCCTAACCTGAAGCTTGCGAAGTGGTCATTCAGCTGTAATTCCACAACAAAAGTTAACATGTATTCAAGAACGCTCTCAGTAATTGCCTTATTGGTATGTTTAAACCTTTGATTATCTCTTTCAATTTACTCTCTTTTCTAGGCAGTCTCAGCCAGTTGTTTGGATCTCTGTGATTATTACGGTAAAATCGGAAGACTTCACGAACATCCTGAATGCATGCCTCGCGGACGCCCTGAAGAGGAGATCGACTTTCTCCCAGAAATTACTACAACCGAAGCTCCCCGTATTGGCTTCTGTTCAAGGTTAGAAATAATCTAACTATCATAAACCTAACCTTCCAATTTAGCTCTGCTGCTCTCATTCAATGTACAGCTGACAGCATCACTTGCCCACTTTCTGGACAAATCTGTATTCAGTCCGATGGAGAAAAGTGTTGCCAGATCGTAACTGCAGGTAGAGCTTAAAACTTCGTTATTACGATATTTCTAAAAAGGAGTTTTGATTTCGCATTCTCGCAATTTTATTTTCTCGATAAGAGGAGCTTTGAGAACAATAGACTTGAGGGTATTGGTGAAAGTCTTCCGTTTTTTGATTGCCTTGAAGTCTGGATTTGGAATGTTGACCTCCGGGGTATTGAAAGATGAACGGTCAGCTGGCGGTGTGTCTGAACTCTCCTCGCACTTCAATTGTAAAAGCTTTGAGCTTTTTCGAGAGCAAACATCATCGATGGGAGCCACAAAGACTCATTTTTGTCTGAACCGGAATGGTTAACTATCCGCAAGCTCTTATTTGAGCATGACCTCTCGTCTCTTCTTTTCAAAATGAAAAATTATGTTGTTTTTTCCTCCAGGGGAACCTGAGAAAAATCCAGTTGTCATACAACCGGTCAGAACAAGTATATCAACAATAGTATTTTCATCTTTCCTACCTATTGAGAGAGCAACAAACATTCTTTAAAGAAACCTTCCTACCTGAAATCAATAGATCATTTCTGAAATTCATACTTTTCAGGAATCCCTGCTTCTGAAATCAACTCTAAGGCTGGACAATGCCCAAGACCACTCGGAATTTCTGTTCTCCAGGTAGATATATTCTTCTAAAGCATCAGTTCATTTGAATACTGTAGGACAACACTGTTGGTTGCTGGATGGACTCAAACTGCCCAGGAATCCAGAAGTGCTGTGTCGAACCAAATCCAGTCACCAACTCTGCCACCAGAATTTGCCGTGACCCTGTCGGAATATCAAGTAAGCTACTCTTCTGATTGCTTTTCAAAACTTCTAAACCCCCTTAAACTGTCCGTCTCTTTTCCCTTTTTCGGTTATAAGAATTCAAAAACCATTTTTGTAAATGAAATCATGTTTTTCAAAAAAGCTCAACCTTTTTTGGGATGATTTTTGATATTTTCTTTGAGAAATCCTCTTTAACTGGATGGCCACTTGTGAAGAGAAACAGCTGTGTTTGTTCGAAATCTTTAAACCAATGTTTTGATTTTTCGTGTATTTGAAACGTTTAAGCAGCTTTTTTTTGAACGATGGCTTATCCTCAGCAACATCTTTTACTTCCCCTTCTATTCCCTCTTCAAAAACCTTTTGAACTTCTACTGAACGTCGCACTCTGGACCTGTAGACATGTTGGCAGGCACCTCCATCTGCAACTTGGCTTTGGCTGTTGGAAGCTGTACAGCTCCTGGTGTTCGATACTACTATGACTCCTCCTCTGCAAGATGTAATCAGTTCATGTACTCCGGATGTGGAGGAAACGCCAACAACTTCCAATCGTTGGCAAGCTGTCAAGCTACATGTGGTAACAGCGGTAGGTTTATCACTTTTATTCATTTATTTTTCACACTCCCTTACTTAGTTGTCTAGCTTCTTCTAGTTCTGCTCTTAGTTTCCATCACTTCTGTATAGATACAATACCTATGCACATCAGACCTTACTTCTTTAGGAATTAAAAAGACACCTCAATGCCCACCTGATGCAAACTCTGGACTTAACTGTCTCTTCGCTCACGCCGATGCTTGCAACACTGACAGTGACTGTTTAGGTCGTGAAAACACTGTAAGTTAACGTAACCTTTTATTAGTTATTTCATACTTACTGTGTTTCCTCAAATCATTCATCATGTTTCAGGTCCAACCATCATGCTGCATGACAAGCTGCGGCTACAAAATCTGTTATCAATACTAAGTTATAAGAAGATACCTCAAAATGGAAAAAATACTTAAAAACCTAAATTATTAAAAAAAAATTATTATGAAAGCTTATATAGTATCTAGCAGGCCAATTCAATCGAAAATTGCCACAATCTAGCCTGGGAGATAGTATAGAATGTCAGAAGCACAAATCGAAAACGTCTGTTCTGATATTCTCTATCTCCGGTTGATAAACGAATTCTTAATTATCAAAACTAACCATATTAAAGCTATCTGTACAAACTATCAGTTGTTGAATGTACGAAAGTTGTCATCAATTATTTATTATTCTGTTTGTTTTATAAAAGAATTTAATAAAACTATAAGAGAACAACGTCATCCATCTTTCTCATCTAGTAGCAGCTATGTTGCTCTCACTGGTCTCATCATGCAAGTGCTTCTTGCTGCAGCATTGCTCTAAATAAAATGGCCGCATCTTCTCAACTGGTCACAAACAACAAATGAAAAGAAAAGTATATGTGAGAGTCAATAAAAAAGAAAGTCATGCATGTAAAAGAAAGTTTTAAGGAAGAGGAAAGAGCGCCAACTCTCAAAATTCTATTTATTTCCTTTTGTGTTTCACATTCATACTTCATAAGCTCATGTGACATAAACTAAACTGAATCCGATAACCTATCCATTTGGCAAATATGGAAATTATACTTTTCTCTAGGTAATTCGATAACATCATTCATTCATTCTATTGACAACACACTAAATCTTTTTTTGTTATATTTCAAATGAAAACTTCAGTCTCAACTTCCCAGCACTCCTGTTCAAAGCACTTTTGAAAGGAAATATTTAAATTTTTAATAATTTTTATCTAAAAATTGATTGTTTCACATGTGTTTGCTTTATAAACATGCTACTCCAAAACAGCAATGACGAAAGGAAAGTTTCCTCGTTTACGCTGGCTGCGGATATTTTTCCTTTCGAGGTGATCATGTAATACAATCTTCAAAGATTGTTACGTAGTTGATCTCCATGCTCCAACTATTTATAACCGAAAACATTTATAAATATACAGAATAACAGCTAGATTACCAATAGATTTCTCTTTCTCATCTTCTAAATTTCTTTTTTGTCCTGAATATTATTCTCACTTAGATGGTCGAACGCCTTGTTTACAAATTGAAGAAACCTTAGACGGGGACGAGTTCCTTCTCATAATTGAATGAGAGAAACGTTTCAATTTTATATAAGTTTATGCAATCGTTCCTTTACTCCCTCTCAAAGTAATTTCAAAGATCAGTTTCCTCTTACCTTTATGTTTCTTTCTATCTTACACTATCTACCACTTCCTCTTCTTCTTCGTACTTCTTACAGTGAGATTTCCAAAGTTTATATCTGTATTATCTAATCACATATCTTTCTCTCTCTACCTACTTTCCTCTCTCTCTCTTCCTCTCTCGCACATTTCTCCAGTTATCAATAAAATATAACAGATTTTCTATACATAATCTACTCCATACGGATAAAGCTTGTAGGCTTTTGGCATTAAGCCCCGCCTTCGAGCTGCATTCCATATGAAGAAATAGTAGGAGAACGAGAAAATTATCACTAGATTTCCTCAAACAGCTTTCTCTCCTCCTTTTTCTTCGATTAGCTCCACCCTCCCTTATAAGAAGCCGAGGCGACAATTCAGCTGCTCTCTGAATGCATTTTCCAAAAAGGTTTATGTCAAAACCATTGATTTGTCTTTGATTGTGCCGTTTTGCATTTCTCGTTTCGATTATCATTCAATGACTTTCTTGATTTGCAGTTGTTTTCCCTCATTCATTGCCCATATATTCCACAAAGTTTAAAATTCGGACAGTAACCAAGCCTACAACTTGGAGGAACAAGGGCCAAATATAGTATGCCCTTAACCAGGGCAGTCATGCACAAGCTACAGTTTGCTCGAGGTATTGGACAGCGGGAAATGTTACGGGCCAATACATTACCAAGTATTACGAGAGCAAAAGTAAGTTTCAAATAGTATTTGTGTTGTATTATTATCATTTCCTAATTTGGATTGTTTATCTGTCACTTACTTATTGCCAGTTTTTGATTAGTTTTCCATTTCCTCACTCACTCCGACAGCGCCCACTCATTCCACCTCCTCCCTCCTCTCTCGAACGTCCAGTTTTTTCTCTTTTTGTCTCTCTCTCTTTTTTTTTCGGTGATAACTTTTCTTTCAAATATCATTAAGCTTTCTAATTTGGTGTGAGATTTAAATGAAAGAAAAAACTTACAGAACATTTTGCTCTGACTTCTCATAGAAATATTGACTATAAAAGGAATCCCATTTTGTCTCAACTTAATCCCGACGAAACTGAATGACTGAATATAGAAAAAGACGACTAGATTGCAAAAGATACATAGAGTGATTATGTAATTTAAAGAGACTGTCAGTTAATTTGAAAATGCTAAAGATGCAGACGAGAGCTAGTCAGAGTTTCAAAGGTAGTCAGCCGTCACACAAAGAGAATCAGACTTCAAAGGGAGTCAATAGAATAACGGAAGTGCACAAGTGAGCGAGAGTCCAACTGATGTTTAGATGTAGTGGCCTTCAGAAGATTTTATGAAAGAAAAATTAAAGTTTTTTTAATCTTTCTGAACCATTTTCACAATATAGTCTCATGAGAATTCTCAGAACAAAATTATTCTTTCGATTTCCATTTGGCTAAATACGTCCGTCTACCTATGTATATTAGCCGACGCACAATCAGAATTAGGAGATTAAGTCATGTCGGAAATCTGAATAAAGGAGGTGTTCTGCTTCCATATAAGCCCTTCTTATCCCCTTTTTTCAATTTTCATTAGTTTTTTTTTTCAAAAAACTGTTGTCAACTTTCTTGAGAAAACGAGAAACGATAACCTCAACCAAAAGCTTTAAATAAACCTTTGCTAGCGGTTTCCGCTTTGAAGAAATGAGTCTGTCCTTTCTGAATATACCCTTCTGGCCAAAAATGGCCATCTCGCTGTAGAATTAGTCCTGGACGTCACGATTCACAGTCAATGTGATCACCAAGTTCACCTTTGGAAATGGCAGTCCTCTTATGAATTGAAAGAATATAAGATGAGATGAAAATAGAAGAAAAGGTCCCAGTAGAACGAAAAAAATCAAAAATTCATTTCAAAACTTACAACATGTGATTCTCATCTGTTCATTTTGCTTATTTGTCCGGAATCATTATCCTTATTACGATTTTCGTGGGTTGATGAAGAAGAAAAAATGAAATTGCTGGAGCACGAATAAGGAATTCGTTTTTACGTCAATCAAGTGTATAACCCTCCATCTCATACAATTCTCATCTTCACAAGTTCATTTAGCAACAAATAATTTTCTTGAACAGAAACAATAGAAATGCTAGAAAACTAAGAAATTCACCGAAAATTAGATCGACGCTGAATTGTTGATGACGATAGTCGTCTGAAGCGTAGACGATTAAACATCTGTTGTATTTAGAATAAATAAACATTTAATCATTTTCATTTTGCAAAAAAAAACATAAATTCTTATAACATTCATATTCCAGGTTGGATGCTTCGCTCGACTTCATATCTACGAGGAAAATGCTCGATTGATTCTAATCTCGCTGATTCTAATAGTATATTTGATATGTGGAGCCTTTCTCTTCAATCACTTAGAATGGGAAAATGAGCAGAAGGAAAGAAAAGAAGTCAGTTTTCATTATTTCAGTTTTTCCCTCCCTCTCTCTCTCTTTCTCTCTCCCTTTCTCTCTCTCTCTCTCTCTCTGTTTCTTCCTTCTCTCGTAAACCTTATATCCATATATGGAAGTTCCTTCTTTTTGGTTTCTTCAACTATCAAGTAATTCCCACTTGTATTTTACTGAAAAACAGTCTAAACTTGAGAAATTGAAAATACAAATTCATCTTATATGATTCTCCGGCATTTTTTCTTCAAAATATTTGTTTCCGTCAAACTTCATGTAATGCTGTAAGTCTATGCGATACTTGGATATTCCCACGTTTTTTTTCTCCTTTTTCATAACTTGCTGATATCAGCAGCAAAGAAAGATCAGGGAAAATATCAGTTTTGGGATATGAAGGGCATTTTCTCATTCCATTTGTGAATATGTATGACGATATGAGATGTGATTCTGCGTAGGATCATTTGATCTTCAAAAGATCCATGCACATGTTCTGACCATTAACCCGAAGAGTCAATATTATAAAACATCTAATTTGATGTCGTTATGACAACGAAATGAGAAGTATGTGGGTGATATTAAAAATAGAAATATATTAGAAGAGAGAGAGAGGGAAGCAGAGAGAGAAGAGAGAAGGAGAGGCAGAGAGGACACAAAAGAGATTGAAGAAGGTGTGTGTGTGTGTGTATGTGTAAGAAGGCTATGATCTTCGTAGTATGAAATGCTTCATAATCTACTTCATATAAGCATGGCTAACAAAACAAAAACGACAACAAACATGTGATAATACATTTGAGGTTATGAAATATAATATATAGATAGATATATATATATAGATATACAAGAAAACATAATAGTTTTTTTTGTTTTAAAGTTAAAATGTAATTTTGCAGTTAGATGCTCGCTTGCAATCATATCGCAGGAAGTATTGCGGAAATAATACAAAGGTACCATTGCCTTTATATATATTAAATATCATTTAGAATATTATGTATATATATAGTAATATATACTAATGAAACTACAAACTATCATTTCTTGATAATACTATCAAAAAAAAAATATTTTTAGGTTTAAAAAACAATATAAAAATATATATTTTAGGCATGTGATTTCCATGATCTTATAGACTTGATTAGTGAAGCTAATTCTATTGGGATTTTCAATTCAAGATCACGTTTTGATTTATACGGTTCTTTATTTTTTTCCGGCACTGTCATATCAACAATAGGTATGTTCAATACTACAATTATGATTATGTAGGATGATTGACTATATTCCATTTCAGGATTTGGCTCATCAACACCTAGGACATGGGTAGGACGTCTGTGTACAATCATCTATGGCTTGATTGGATGCACTGGATGTGTTCTATTCTTCAACTTATTCCTTGAACGATTCATAACGCTACTTTCATATTTTTTGAGGTAAAACACATATTCTCTCTCTCTCTCTCTCTCTCTCTCTCTATCTACCTTCTCTCTCTTAACATATATTTTGTTAAATATCCAAGAATTCTATTAGAATATGCTAATTCGCTTTTTACGATTTCCACGTGTAGTCACGGACTCGTAATTTTCAGCTTTTTCATTCAATTTTTTTCATTTTAAAACAAAATGAGAATGAGAAGCGGTTGTATACAATGTTGAAGTAGCTATTTGCGATGAATATACTTCTTCTCTTCAGATATCTTCACGAAAAAAAGCTTCGAAAGCGGGCAGCTGCATGTTCTACAGATGTAAAACCAGTTACATTACTGTTGAATAATGATTATATAGATACAGCTAGGTATGATACATATGAAATAACATCAAAATATATATTTATATATATAACACATTTACAGTTCTTGCGAAGATGGTGGTGCTGATCCATGGCGACCATCTGTTTACAAAGTATTTTTTTGTATAGCAACGTAAGATTAGAGTATCATTTATCTAATTATATAATAATTTATAGTATATGTGCTATAACACTGATTGGTCCAGCCATGGTATACTCATTCATTGAATCATGGCCATATGTGGATTCTCTCTATTTCTGCTTTACAAGGTATTCATTCTTTAGTTGTTTATATTATGATTATACATATTTCAGCTTTGCAACAATCGGATTTGGAGATTATGTTTCCAATTTGAAAGATGTCAATATGAGTACAGAGCTGTATCGGTTTGAAATATTTATACATATCTATCATTCACGAATTACCATATTTCAGATTTATCAATTTCTTTTTGCTCACATTCGGTGCTTGTATCTTTTATTGCCTTTTCAATGTTTCTTCTATTGTTGTTAGGTTATTATTTATATTCATATCAGCTTTTGACCAAATAATTCAATATACATATCTCTAACAAAATATATTTATAGACAACTTCTTAATTGGATGATTAAGAAAATGGATATTAAAATTGAAAGCGGAACCTTTTGTGGTCGTAAAAAGCAAAGATATTATGGATTGGGCTTAAGGCCGCCACGAGGTAACATACAATTCGTATCAATATGCAACTACATTCTCTAAAGGTTATGAATGTCCGTCATCCCGATGTTCAATGGATGCAACCGAAGGATTGTTATCTTTAAAAGAATTTTTAATGAATCAACAAAGTTCAGTATTGTTATTACAACGACAACTAATTGCGGTATGCTTATTTGGATTATCATATTGATATCAATCTGAGAAATTCCATTTATAGAGTGCTTCAAAGAATATAAAAGAGCCAGAACCACCTAAGATCTCAGCAACACGGGTCGGCCCAATGGGTATATTAGATGAGAAGTTCGGGGATGAATCATAATTCAAATAATCAAGTAAGTCGTTACATATCTTATGTTTCGTAAGTATCTTCGTGTTTTCATCGGAAGTGCAACTAATGAATCACATTCTTCGGAATGTTTTGACTTTTTTTGGAAAATGCAAACGTTGAGAACGGTTGATCTTCAAAGAAATCTTGTCTTGATGTGTGAACAAGCTTTTTGTCTTTCCAGATTCAGGGATTCGAATAATGTATTAGAAGCCAGTAGCTCATCGACGATATATATATAAATATGATTGTGCTGGGTATTTACATGTATTTTTGAAACATAGTATTCTTCAAATTTCAAATATAGCAATAAGCCTTAAATTTGCTCCATTAATTGCTCTTGTATCGCTATCAAACTCTTGAACGTGTATTGTATATCTCTGAATAGTGTACATACGAATGAAATTTGTAAAACGGTTATTACAGTAGTATATGTTCTTGTTGCTTTCTCTTCTTTCCCGTCTGTCTATCTTTGACCATTTCAATGAATGTGATGTTTAAATTATGTCAAAATTGGGTAATAAAGTTTAGATTTTCATGCATCTCCTAATGAAGCTTCAACATCTTTTGAAGAAAAAAAGCTAATTGTGCTCACATTGAATATATTGAAGTATGAATAGAATAAGTAATCATACGAAGCTCATAAAACGGGGGAGATAGATGAATAAAGTGTGTAGGAAGGTATATATGTTTCTAATTGGTAATTCCGTCTTTTAATTGTTGACTGAAGTATTGCATAAAAGCATTTGAAAAATAACAGGTGGAAAGTATTTCTTGTAACTACTTGAAGCTTTTTGCGTTGGTTGCCGTACTCATTGAATGGCTAAGCTCAAGAAACTTCATTTATCAGTGTCAAGACTGAAAAGGGTACAACCTAATATTCATGGTGAAACAATAATTCAGACAGTTTTATAAATAGCTTTATTTATATTATCCATAATTTATTAACTTAAGAATGTCTTTGTAGTCTTAAGTTCACAAGGTTATGGATCAAGTTTATCTTCCAAATGCTCAGTCTTTCCAATTTCTTCTGCCTTTTCAGCTACTATTCCTTCAGCCTTCTCAGCTACGGCCGTCAAACGGGTACATATCTCTTCCATCTTCAAAAGAAACATTTCTGACGATTGAAGCACTCAAAAAGCACCTGAATCCTGCGAGATTTCTCTTCTTCTAAACGTTTTTTGTTCTGCTCGGTGGATTGTTTGATAATCTCAGTTTTCTGCATTTGAGCATCCAAAACTTCTTCCATCATACCCATAATCTCAGCAACTTCATCCTCGTTCATTGTATCTCTTAAACAGTGAAATGAGAAAATGAATAAGTTTGAAAACTGACTGTTCGGTTTCTAAAGCAGACATGATATCTTCTAACGAAGGTTCATTTTCATTAGTTCCAACGGCAGCCAACGAGGCCAATATATCTTCAACAGGCATAACTCTTCAACAAAAAAACGTTTATAACAATTTATAACATTTGAAACGAGTTAAAATATAGTGGAACAGACACCAACGTACAGAAGCAGGAAAATAATTGAAGCGATCGACTGAAGAAGCTCAAACAAATAAAACTGGACTCACCAGAGTGGGCGGCAATTTTTCTCGAGAGCATTTCTTAGCTAAACGAAATCCAAAGAAATCCAGCCGGACATAGGAACCGGAATGAAAGTGAAATTGATCCGAGGTAAAACTGTAGAATTTCTTATTTTCATTGTTGAATTGTGTAAGACAGTTTTGTACTTCGTGTAATTCGCGAAAAGTTTGCACTTTTGATTATTTACTCAAAGTAAATAAGGGAACAATCAGAAGGAATAACTTATCAACAGTCACAATTATATATAACAGGGATGTACGAATTGAAACAAGCATAAGGTTTTATTCAACTTGTCATGAACTTAATCTGAGTCAGAGTCCGACTCTCCAGATGATGACTGGAGCAAAGGCTTCACATCAGTTGCTGCATCATGAGAGTTTGAATCGTCTGAATCGCTCTGCAAAAAAAACAGTATATTTACTTTCGTTGAGATCTCGAGAAAACCTTTGAACTACTTCCATCACTATCATGGGATCGACCTGACGGAGAAGATCTACCTCGGGATGGGCTTTCTGGTTTTTTAGATTCTTGAGAACTATTTTTACTATCTTCGGATTTTACAATTGATCCTCTTGAAGGTGAGGCCGATAAAGCATTACTAAGACTTTGTTCTAAAAGAGATGATTATAGAAGTTCAAACAGTATATGATTGTACCTTCGTTATCCGCGTCTTCCTCTTCTTTCTGTTCCTCGGGATGCAACAACATTTGTAATCTTGCAGTCATTCGAGAAATTTCAGGTTCTGTAGGATCCCGATATTGAATTTGTAAGGTAGTGTTGTTCTGAAAATATCCTGATGAACTGTCATGTAACTGGACAACGAACCTTAGCTCCTCCAGTACGTTTTCTACGTCGAACTAATCTAACTCTTGTTTCTAATTCGTTATATAACATTTGTCCATCTTTTTGGTAAAGCATGAAATGATCCTTTTCATAGTCTGCACTCGCGTTATTCTTAACAACCCAGTTGTATTCACGATTAAGCATATAGTTATAACTGAAAGAGTTCAAGTATGTTAAGAGCTTGCACTTCCCAAAACGTACGTGTATCCTTGTTCGAATGGTTGTTTCTTTTCATGATCTTCCAAATTCTGTTGTAGGGTTTCCACCGTGGGACAGAAATGAGCAACATACTGTTCACCTTCAGCAGATTGCATACCCCTGAACAAACGGTCTCAAAAGCTCGATAAAAAACGGTTGACGAACTTAATTATTGAGTTTTCCAATCCACTATTTTTCAAAGAATGAGGCAATGCACTGCATGCTGGGTCGCTATCGAACATGACTTGTGCGAGATCGAACTTCCAGAGCTGTAATAAACAAGTTTTTTTTCCTGAGGTAAATCCGAAAAATACCCCGAAATCTGGGAAAATAGGCATTTCTTCCACTGCAACAACACCTTTATTGCTGTAATGGTTCTTGATGGGTTGTTTGGCCTAAAGCACGGTTTAACTCCGAAATGGGGACGATTGACTTACATCCTCGAAAGTCTTACTGATTGCATCAATCTGGCTTTGCCTATCTCTATATAAGTTTTCGTTATCCATCTGCTTTTTGAGATGATATCCAACTTTAGTTTCTTGTCTTAAGTTTGAAGTTGAGAAATTCGAAAAGGAAGTATACGAACCTGTCGCTGGACACACCGAATCTGTTGAATTCAGAGGAAATGTATTCAGTTTTTCTCATCCACGGCACAACCTTAGAGTGCTGAGCGGATCTAGAAAGAAATTAAATTTCAAAACAATTAATCTTAGACTAACCTTCTACTAGATAAGTTATTAGAAGTCTCATCTTCTAATAATAAGAGATCTTTCTCGTCAACCTGAACTATCAATGATGAAACTTTATCCAGCACTGTTAGATACTAACCTCCCATTTTTTCTTCATGGCTTCATCTACTCTATATGTTTCAGGATCAACTAAATCTATGTTAACCCCCATATCCATTTCGCATTGAACTTCAAACTTATACTCCTTTTCTAACATAGTGGGTTTGTAATCGATGAATCTGTTGAAATTTGAAAGTATAAAGTAATTAAGTATTCAATTAAATACCTGTTAATTGGTACGAAAGGACAGGCGAGAAATTTGCCATCGAAAGGAAGATCTGGGAGAGTATTTGTGAATTTTGGTTTGCATATGAAATCTACTTTATTCCTTAAATGAACTTTTAAACATGAAATATTGGAAGATCACTTACGGGGGTGGTACATTCTCACGGGTTTGCCCGGGTGATTTGGGTTTTGACATCTCTAATATATTATAAAAAAAAATTAATTAGAATTAAGCTAGAAACGGTAATGGAGCCTAGCTTTTTGAAATCGAGGTTTCCGGGTTTGAAAGAGACGCAAGTGGTCACTGGCGCAAACCGCGTGCTTAGCAGGGGGGCCATGAGTAGTAGTTCGTCTGACAGGCTCGTATTGTTTTTCCATACATGGAGTCTATTGAGCTATTGACAAAAACATATTAATGTTGTGCTGATTAGAAGTTTTATTTGAGTCTTATTAGCATATTTAACAAATGGATATGCTTTTATTCGGTGATCAGAGTTTATGTGAACCGGTCGCGTTCGGACAAAGTGAAAGAAATGAATAAATGAGCAAGCAATTGGTTAGATCACAGAACCTTCCTTCTTCGGTCACAGAAAGGTTGCATTCATCAAAAAAGTAGAGAACAGCATAAGAAATGCTGTGAAGATGTATCCGGTACTTCGTGGAGCTTCATTACAAAAGTCCTGTAAGTTTTCTATTTTCAAAGCTTCCTACATATATCCTACGGTATCGCAATAGCACTGACGATCATCCTCTTCGGAGTTTTTGAAAGACGAGTTTAATGCACATATTTTCTATAAAAGATTATTAATGGAAAAAGAGAAAAACAGTTGTAGACTCGTAATACCGTTGTAGACATTGTAACATTCTGATCTGGGTTCGTACATCCTTTACTGATTACGGCGTCGACCTGAACAATAAACGAAAATGAAGTGGATAGTTAATGGGAACCACTTACTTCTTTGGCAAACGTAATATGTGAAAAACATAGAGAAAACGATGGACAATCGTACGTATCAAAGTTTGCTCAAAAAGAATTATGAAACGTAAATAACAATTTGGAAGAATTACCAGCGCTCTTCAACGTACGCTTTCCCCCAAAACAAGAAATGCAATAACTATAAGTTATGAATGATAAAAACAAAGTACAAGTAACGGTAGAGCTGATAGACATTTCTCGGGTAAAATGTGATTTTCCCCACTCTTCATACTATTTATCCATTCTCATCAGTGATCCGGTTCGATTACAAACGGATTTAGAAAGGATGTTTCATATCTTTGTTTTGTATTTTGTGCCAGAAATTAAGCCTTTAATTAGTGCAACATGTTGGTTCTGCGATTACCAAACAAAGGAAAAAAAGATTTGATTATCCATCATAATATCAAATGATTCCAGAGGATTCAGATTTTTCTGGTCAACTCTGCACGATTGGTCTTTCAATGAATGCACACGTAATTTTCTTAAGAAGTCAAAACACACTCATACACTCACATACACACACACGCACAGACACAAGCACACGCTTCGCTTTTCGAATTGAACCCACGACAAAGTTCATGCGAAAAACTTTTTTCAGTCTTAATCAGATTTTCTCAGCCGTTTCTTGATAAATAAGGAAAATCGAGATTTTTTTCCATTTCCGTCGTATTTTCTGGATTTCAGTAATTACTTGGCATATTTTTTGATTTATTAACGTCACGAGTAACTTAACTCCCTTCCCCCTCTCTCTACCACCTCTCTTCCTTCTCCTTCTCCTTCCCCTCCTCCTCCTCCTCCTTTACTCCTCCTCTCTCTTTCTCTTTTTCTTTTTATCTCCCACCTTCCTCAGTGAAATCTTGAAAAGCTAAAGATTTGTAGTTTACGAACAGATTCCTATGGAAACATGTCGCCAAATTTGTCATTTCATTATCTTCCCGAGCCCGGTTCCAATTTTCTCAATATTTCTTTTGATAAGTTTGTAAGATGGAAAATCGTGATGATCATCTCAGACGAAGAAAGACCATATTAGGGTTTGATTCGAGTATTAACTTTTGTATCAAAGCCTATTCTTCAATTTGATCTTTTCATTCAAATATCTTCCATTATTATTAAATTATCTCTTTTTATATATGAAATTCATATTGTTCGAACAAAATCTTTTATATTACTAATCCTCTCTGTCAAAATATATGCTTAAGAATGTTGTGCAGCCGTCATGAAGAGAGATATTCGATTGACATTTGTATACCTCTTTCGTCTTACCTTAGATAGACATACATTCTTCTCTTAATTTTCTAGCAGCACCTCTATCGCTGTGCTTTTAATGGTATACTCTCTATCTCATTATACCTCGCTCTCTTTCTTTCTTGTATTTCCTTCATCTTTTTCTTTCTCTCTCTCTCCCTATCTTTTTCGATTTAATTGGTTTTCATGATTTTTTTGTTAATATTTTTAAATTAATGGAAATGTCTCGGCTGTCTGCTGAAAGGAAGATAACCTATTCGATATAGACTTGTCTCAATCAGTCGACCGCCTCCGGCATCCACCATCTTCCAAATGCTTTTCGATTGTTTCTGTTCTTCTGGTTTTTCTTTTTCTATTTTGTTTTAACGAATCTGAAAATATTATTCTTAAATAACACTCTCAACACATTGCGGTAAATATCTTCTCACCGTCATAAGAGCAATTATAACTACGTAAGCTTATAATTCCCACTGTGCTTCATGAATTCATTTTTTTATATTAAATGAGAATTATCAATGGGATAAAGTATATCTGAGATGGTTACTGGCTCATCTACCCACCTATCCTCATCAAAACTCTAGAAGAGTAGAATGCCTTAACCGCTCTGTATGTCTGTATATATTCTAAGTGAGTATGTGTGTGAGTATGTGCGAGTGTTCCACAACAAAATTAAAATCATAACGTCGATCTGATCTAATTTGCATATCAGCTGAAAAGATACGTCAACATCAATAAATTAGAATTGAAAGTTATTATAGTTTCAAGAAAATAAATAATTAATGAGAAAAATGTGATTAAATTGAAAGTTTAAATTTGGAAAAAATACTTTTGCTGAGCTTATCCGTCCAATCGCACGAATGTGCATCGCATGTCGTCATACACATTCTGCGAATATTAATTTATATTTTTATTCATATTACCTTCACACAAGCTATTCTCAGTCTATCCTATCTATCTATCTATCTTATTCTCTCTATTCATTCTCCTTCTAGCAAGCTCAATGCATTTCCGAAATAAGAAAGAGAGAAAGAGAGAGAGAGAGGGAGAGAAGAAGCAAGAAAAAAAAACAATAATGAAACTTTTCTGTCAATACCTTTTTTATATTCTTTCATAATGAGATAAGGTAGCTGTAACCCGGACAACCGTTACAACGCTGACGTTTTTATTTTTTTTGTTTACTTACGAGAATTTTTCAGTATTTTCTTTCCTTTCCAGTGTTCTTTTGATTTATATACCCATTTTGGAGACTTTCGCAGTATAATAATCATAAATTGTATTGAAATAATAATTGAATAGAAGACCAAATATAAAACATCGAGAATCAGCCTCAGCAATACAGCTTTTCTTTAACCAAAAACATTCAGTTGCAACCGAATTCTTCCCATTCTTCTTTCCACTGTTTCTAGTGTTGCACCCTTCTATTGATTTGTTAACAAAAAAAATGAAATGAAGGAGTGAAATATGAAAAAAAAAAATTTTTTTCATTCAACTTCATCCAAGTTAGATATGTGTGACTGTCTAATGAAGTCTACGAATATTCATGTTGAGTTAGTATGCGAGACAATGAAAATCCTTAATCGGAAGTCGCTTGATTAGTCGACAAACGAATTAGCTGATAAGTGATTACGAGTGAAGTTCAAAAAATGAAATTGCCATATCATGATGATGATAAGGATAATTCCATTTATGTCTTGCAAAGCTTTAGTCTCCTGAAATTGACAAAAATATTCATGAAATTCGCGTTCTGCTAATGTAATTCTACCCTTATTTCGTTCTAAGCTTTGCCATGAAACTGATTTCAAACAATCGTTTGCTGATTACCTGCGTGTCGTTGCCTGGGGCAGCATCTGAGTGAGAGAAACGAGGCGAAGAAGGTGGCAATGCCCACCTATTATCATCGATCGGATATGAAGCACGAGTTCTGGGCGTACCTAACAAGCAAGCTCAAACCTGCTTAATTTGGTATTTACTCTGTTTGTCTGTCCTATCATTAGAATGATCTCAAGACATATTGTCTGAATATATGTATGAATAGACATCTTTACCTCTCTAACCTGAATCCTATCCAGTTCTATACTTTCAACAACACATTTCTCTTTCCGAATATTTCTGATGATCAGAAACGAGAAGTGTTTGACTATATTCCCAATGAGGATACCATTTTTTCCATCTTCTCTTCTTCCCATCGCATATGCTTATCTTAGGATGTGCACAGTACTCCTCCACATTCTATCTCTATCTATTGGTCCAGCAAGATAAAGCATATATAATCCTTATACGGTGCTTTCATCCTCTTCTTCTATTTTTCATATAGAGTGATATGATCGTAAAGAAAGCTCCATTTAACGATGCAACTGGTCCCATAGAGATTATACTGAAGTATCAAACGCCCAATCCATACAAGTTCATTCCTCATATAGCTCGACACATTTCTTCCTTCTTTTCTTTTTCTCTCTTTTTTTCGAATGAACATTAAAATGTATTTGATTCTTTCCTTTTCTTTCAGCCATTCCAGACCATGAATGACAAATTTCAATCTAATTATATCTTTTGCAGCGAGCAGATATTAAACTATTTCATTTTTTTAGTTTTTGTATGACCATGGGAACGTTTATCGAGCAAATCCATTTCCTAAGTCGTTCAACTCATTCCTCCAACATTCCGTACTCCGCTATTTCCAGGAACTATTTGTTGCGAATTTTCATGTTCTCACAATTGATATTTTACTTCATATACATTCCAAATGTGAAGTACAACCCGAAAAACTGAGTGAAAAAAAAAAATTTTTTTTCTTACAAATCAGCATTTCAAATTGATATCTAGCTGAATCTCCAACTACATGTCGCTCGCTACACACATACATATACATACACATACACAAAATGACATTCGTCTGCACAACGCTGATTTCCTCTCTCCCTTTTCAGAAGTTTTGAACAGCAACGTGTGATTTATTTTATTGTATTCTATACACTTCTTACCGTTTTTTGACTGTTTACCAGAGAGGAAGAAAGTGAAAAGAGAAAGAAGAAAGATGAAAAGTAAGAGAAAACCTTTCCAAGTTCCCACTGTTTTTACTTTTTCCACCCTTCAAATTGTAATTTTTCTTGTAAAAATCCGAATCCCCCTTCTCTATTTCTCTCTCTCCCTGCCTCTTTCTCTAACTGTTCGTGTATGCATTGGAAGAAAATATATTTTGTAACATTTATTTTCAAAAAAAAAAACAGAGAAAAAAAGAATTCTCTATGAAACTCAATGAAAACTGCAGCTCAGAACACTGCACACAGTCGGCATTGACAAACTTATAAACTCTATTATTAATGGTCTTAGTCAGCTTCTATTTTGTAATTGCAAAGCAGAAAAAAAAACAGAGCAAAAGGAAGAAATATGATTTCGTACAGTTTTTCTGTTGATACTACTCTCTTACTTAATTCTACCGTATGTTTAATCTCCTTTTTTTAATATAACTATCATCGTTGCATAGAATTTCTTGGATCAAGACTAATCAGCTTATCACACTACTCTTCGTTCTTCTCCTCCGCCTTCCTAACTCATACTTCTTTTTCCCTTTTCCATAACTCTTCTTTCTATTCTTTTTTGCATAAGCTTAATGTGCTTGGAAGACTTTTTTCCATCTCCTCACTCTCTCAACCGCTACTCCTCTTTATCTCTCTCTCTTTCTTTTTCTTTTTCTCAATTTATCTCTCTTTCATTCACTCTATCGTTTTCTCTATTATTCGTAAAAGTTACAATTCTGAATATCCTTGTTAATGAAGCAAGTCCTATGGATTTATATTGCATCTGAAAGCAAATCATTTATTCAAAAATAGCTTATTAAATATTTACTTTTTAATAATAATTTCGAATAAAATAACATGACTTCATAGATGAACGTAAGTAATGACGGAATCGTCTGATCTCATTCACATTGTCGTATCATAACACAACCGCACATCGCATCCGCACACTCACAATGATCTCACGGCATACGCATATACGTGAAGTTCGAGCGTTCAAATGCCCACATACGTGAAACTCAAATGTAGCCTGAGAATAAAACAGTTGATTGAAGTTTTGATGAATTAATCAGATCAAGATAGTGCTCGCGATAATTGGAATGAATTACGACAGCGTTAGTCTAGAATATGAGAACGGAAGTGAATATGTTTTGTATGTTTATCCATTTTTCTTTATCTTCTATATTTTTGAGAGAAAAAAGACACCGAAAGAGGAAAAGAGAGAGGGAGAAACAGAAAGAAAGAGAGAAGGAGAGTGATATAGAAGCATATAGGATATTCTCATATATAAATATAACTGTGAATCTATATGTGTATGTGTGTATATATTTATATAAGATAAAATAATGCAAGTATTAAGAATGAACGAAATGTCATTGGCATCAAGAGCTAATTCAATGAACTAATCGTCGTTCAGAGAGAGAAAAAAAGAAAAAAATTTTTTTTCTTAGCCTTCAACACTTTTCTTCTCATTTTTTTTTCTTTCTCCGCCTTTCTCATTTTCTTTCCGATTCTCGCTCTGCTTTTCACTTCTCTGTGTTCATTTAATTACAACTGTTTATTGAAATGTAAGAGCCTCTCCTGAATATATCCGAATCTTTTTTTTGTATTGGAATTACATGGAACATTAATGTTGAAAACATTTTGTTGTTTCCAGTAGTTTGATCTGCGCTTCAAGCGCACAAAGAGAGAGAGAGAGAGAACACAAAACTCCACTGATCTCTATAAACTTCATGCCTGAAAGTTAATTAACATATTAAAGCTTGTTGAAGATAAGAAGAAAAAAAAACTTTATTGGTCGCTCATTCGGTTCATCTAATCTATCTCTATTGAATGAAGCAGCAAGCATCAGTGAATGGAATTGCTTTACCATTTATGGATTAGATGAAATATCTATTTTGTTCATATTAACTCATAACTTGTACTCGTTCATTGAAATATAAAGTGCATGCAAATGTCGTAGGACTGTCCTCAGAAGGATTAGGTGGGGCGGTCCAACGCTCATAAAGCCAATTGTTCACATCAGCTCAAAAACACAGAAAAAGTTGAAACAAGCAGTTAGTATTAGTTTCAATGCTTGAAACCCATTGTCGTTTATCTCATATACTTATGTCTTCTTTTGTAATTTTCTTTTATTCAATTTACTCAATCAGCATTTCAGAAATGGGAAATTGTCAAAGTCAAGAATCTGCAGAAGGTGCAGCTCGAAATAAAGAAATTGAGAAACAGATTAATCAGGATAAGAGAACTGCCAGCAGCATCGTCAAACTTCTATTATTAGGTGAATCAGTCTTTCATGTTGTATGCATAATGATATCCATTCACAGGTGCTGGAGAATGCGGCAAATCAACAGTTTTGAAACAAATGCAGTAAGTGTTAAGAATTCTTGGAATCGTCCTGAGAAATCAGTTTCTTGGAATATTCGGAAAATCATGCTCAGGACAGTTTCAACTGATTACTTGCAGAATTCTTCACAGCAACGGTTTCACGGAAGAGGAAACAAATGAGAAACGGGCAATCGTCTATTCAAATACCGTTACTTCCATGTGTACAATTTTAAAAGCTATGGACAACATCTTGCATATTCCATTAGAAAATTCAGAAAAAGAGGTTTCGTCTTGGCTGCTCACATCGCATCTTCATTGACTCTATTTCAGAGAGAAAAAAAGATAGTTTTGCGAGTTCAAGAAATGGGAGAAGAGCAAGAGCCGCTAACAGATGAAGTGTCAAAAGCAATTATCAGCCTATGGTTTGTACTTGTTTCATTAGTTTCTTGCAAGAAAGAAATTAATTTAAATTAAATTTATGTCATATTTACAGGGCTGATCCAGGCGTTAAGAAAGCATTTGAAATGAGAAGTGAATATCAACTTACAGATTCTGCCAAATAGTAAGTTGAATGCTTTTCCAATTCATCAAATCCATACATCTCTCATCCTATTTTGCCCGAGAATAATGATGTTCGAATTTTTGTTTTTATGTGGTTTTGTTTGGAAGTTCTCCTTCCAGGTTGTCTTTGGAAGAGGAGTTTCTTAGATTTAGTTTGTAGCTCTCAATCAGCTACACTTAACCAATTGAAAACAAATTTGTCGAAAAAAAACCTCTCAATATTGTAGTTTTAACCTCCAAAATGATGAAATTGATTTTTAATCATCAAACGATCATTCTTTATAGTTTCCTCGATTCATGTGCTAGAATTAGTGAGCCGGGATATCGGCCATCTGAACAAGATATTCTCTATTCAAGAGTCGCAACTACAGGAGTCGTCGAAGTCAAGTTCAAGATTAAAGAATTAGACTTCAGGTTAGTCAGATCATCTTTCTTCATACAGAACTTATGAGAGGCTAGAGAATGTGTTAGCAAGTTTTGAACCCTGATCTATGTGAGCTTACATGTACACCTTGAAGTATCAAGTACAATTTGATGTTCCGACATTTGTGAAGATATGAAAAGAATGTAACTTCTTATTTTAACTTTGAATTAGAAATTATTGAGAACTTTGTACGTTTCGTATTCTTCTCAACTCCTTTTCCGAGTATTATATTTTTCTTTAATTTTCCGAAAAGACACGTAGTTAAGCGTGTGATACAATCCATCCAATGACAAAGTGAAAAACTCGAAAATCTCCAAGGAAACGAGCGTAGGCTTAAATAAAATGGATTATAACACTCAAAATATCATTTTATCTTCGATGTGATTGGAGAAAACGGAAAGTAGAGCATGAAAGGGAATGGCGTAAACCTTCATAACAGCCGAAATGAGCTGAAAAAAGTTATTCGCGGGGGTGTTAATGGAAAATAAAAGTTATGAGAATGTTCGAGAGAAATGAAAGGCTAGTACTTCAAATGTTTCAGAGTCTTTGATGTAGGAGGTCAACGTTCAGAACGTAGAAAATGGATTCATTGCTTCGATAACGTTGAATCTATTATTTTCATAACAGCTATTAGTGAATATGATCAAGTTCTATTTGAAGATGAGACTACTGTAAGATTGATTATGCAAAATGATTATTTCATTTTTCATTTTTTATTTCAGAATCGTATGATTGAATCAATGCAATTATTTAATTCCATATGTAACAGCACATGGTTCGTATCAACGGCTATGATTCTCTTCTTGAATAAGAAAGATTTGTTTATGGAAAAGATTCAAAGGGTCAACATAACGACAGCTTTTCCTGATTATGAAGGTAACCTTTTGAAATTAGCATAATTCCACGTTTAACGTGTTTTTACGTCATGTAAATATTGTTGGCTATAAATTTCATTTTACGTCACACAGAGCGGTTGCTATTTTAATACCAGCTCCCTATATGTCTATATGTCTATATTCATGACTCTAATTACAATTATTTGATTGAATTTACTAATGTGGTTACTTTCAGGAGGGCAGAACTATGATGAAGCAGTGGCTTTCATTAAAATGAAATTCGCGGAGTTGAATTTGAACCCTGACAAAAAAACTATTTATATGCATGAAACATGTGCAACAGATACCAATCAGGTATAGATTTGTTAGAGCAGACAAAAAATTTACAATCTTTACAGGTCCAACTTGTCATTTCAAGTGTTATTGATACGATCATCCAGAAGAATTTACAGAAAGCAGGAATGATGTGAATATATCCGGAAATTAGACGTCTTCTTCACCTTCTTCTGCAAACTAGTAGATAGGATGAAGCGAATCCAATAGATTAGATTGAATACAGCTTCTTTCCAACCTATTCCAATACTCTTAAGGGTTAAAAGTATTTTGATTGCTATTCTTAATATATATTTTATTTGCTACAAGCTTTAACATATATGTATATATACATATGTATATATAGATATTTCTTTATTAAAACAGCTGTTAACTATGAAAATTGGTTATCAAATTGTGTTTTTGCTAATCTCCTTTGATTACCAGCTTTTTTTTTTCGGAGAAGTTTTGAGTAATTTTCATAAACAACATCATTCAGTTAATCTTTCAAAACGTTCTTTGTTTGCTTTTTCTAATTCAGCTATTATATAACACTGCCACAAAATTTAAATTTTGTTATGAAATGATGAATGTGACGAAAGAAAATTTCCATAACCATATCAAACATCAATCTTATTTCATAGAACATGTTCTCAACTTAGAACTTCATATTTATAAACAATAACTTCCTGGGTTACAGACAATAAACTATCTCATCCATTCTATGTAACCTCCTTATCTCATTTATCCTATCTGTATATCTGTCTAAAGCTTAGAACAGTCTTGTTGTGTGAAACCTTTCTTTTATTGTACACTTGATCCACATTCGATTCCAGCTCAAGTTATAAACTCTGCTCTCTTAACACACTTCTCGTTTTGTCAGCCTAATATTCATATTTACCTGGAATGCTCTATTCTATGTTTACAATTACAATAAAAGATTTGTATATTACTGATCATGAGAATATCATTGAGAATATCACAAAACATCACAAAGCAAAGCGGGCATTTGAGTCGCAGCTGGAAGGAAAACTGAGTTTGAGGAAGTAACAGTCCACCTAGAAAATATTGAGCCGAAATAATAAATAATTGAGAAAATTCTCGTATCAATGAAGTTATCAATGATTTTCGAATCTATTGTCAGAAAAGAAAGAAGTAAATGAACGAAATTTCTTTTTTCATGGACAAATATGAAGAGAAGACTGCTTTTCGTACCTAATAAATGTCACGCAACCATAATGAGTGCGACATATGGCAACATATGAACACTAATGGCAACGAAAATTTAGGTGAAATCGGGAAGCTTTTAACGCCGCAGATATCCGTTCTGCTCGAAGAAGCTTCTTCAATTTCTAACTATTTTGATCTTTTGTGAGTTGCACTCTCTTCTCTTACTTTAGACTAGCTAGAATGAAAGAGTTTTCGCTCGAGGAAGTTGCACAACATTCAACTCCTAACGATTTATGGATTATCGTCGATAATAAAGTAAGTTCATCTTTCCATTTTAACAACTCAAAATTTTTTCAGGTCTATAACATGACTTCTTACTACAATAAACATCCTGGAGGGAAGGCGATGCTTCGCCAAGCTGGAAAAGTAACAACATTCATATATTTCTTTACATATCTCCCTCTTAAGGATGCATCTTCCGCCATTCGGTCAGTACCTGCACATGGACTCCCATGGACTTTCATACAGAAGACTTTGCAGGAACATATAATTGGAACATTAAAGAAGTGAACATTTCCGGTTCTCAGAAGCTAATAAAAAAGTCTGATTCTTGCAAGCGTTTCCATCATCACAACCATGATCATGTATGAGAGAACATATTCCTCAAGTGAACTTTACTCCTAGCTTGATTTTCTCGCAAGGATAAAGTACTAGCACACACAAATACAGAATATAAACCTGAAGCTGAAGAGAAAACCATTCATTTAAAATATCAACAACAATCAAAACAACAACAAAACAAATAACAATCTAGAGTGTTTCCATTACCTTATATAATGGAGATTCCTTGTACAATTTTATTCTTTTTTCAATTTGCTTAGGTGTTAATTGGAAAAGATTCTTCGGATCTCGAGACATAGCCTGAAAATGAACTATGAAATCACTATTCGAACACCACACACCTTATAATCATCGCTGCCATATCTGGCCAGGTAGTAAATGCATAATTGAATATCACGGTGGGGAAGTGGTTGTGCTCTGTCCTACAAGCAATAAATAACAGAATGATCAAGTTTCTTCCCACTTACCAGTAGTTCAATGTTTGCTTCTTCTTCTCTGACTTTGGCTTCCAAAGTTGGAATCACTTCTTTGGCCTGAAATAACTTCGAAGATGAAAGATTAACGATTATTAAGTACCTGTGGAAGACTCTTCTTCTTGTATCTTCGAGCATATTCTTTTTTTTCTACCTTTCCATCAAATGGTACAACTCCATCAATGGGAACAGCATCATAAATTGCTCGCTACAATAAGTGATTGTATGCCAAGTGTTGTGCAGAAACTAACGTTAGGCTGAATTATAGGTAGCACTCGATTTGGATTAGCAGCTAAACCCATATCAGACAAATTTTCTGTGACTGTCTTTCTGACATCCCAAGCGTTTTTAACAGCAGATCTGAAAGATATAGGTAAAACAACAATCATTATTAATTTGAGCATACTCTTCACTTTTGCATTCCTTCTTTCTCTTTTCTTTCCTAGTAGCATTTAATTTTCTGTTGCTCAAGTTTTGACGAAACTTGGGCTTGTGTCTTTTAACTGATTTAGATGATCTGGGCATAACTGAAACAAGCAATCTTAGATTAACAAAAAAAGCAACGAAAAAAAAAGAAAATAAGATGTCTTCGTCAAATATGAATATATATACGTAGATTTTAGGGAATGCTCCAATGATAGCAGAAGTTGCTCTACAGCCACGACGTGTTCTAAATCTCTAATTCTCTCATTGGCACATGATCTCTCCAAGGCTTGGGCTAGTTCATGTACATATAAGCTAATTCCATTTCCTCCTTCTTGAAGTATGGTAAACTCAAGTTAAATTCATGTAAGGCTCTAATACTAATTAAATGGCTCAATTCAAAAAGAAGTTCACATTTGACGACCCAGAAGATAGTTATTGGAATGAAAGCGGGTCGAACAGTTCGTCCTTATTCGATGATCTTCCCTCTAAACAGGTAATTTAGATTTGGTTCGATGAAACAATTTGAGTCTTGTAGTGGGCTGCCCGAGCTGCAGTGGATAGTCTTTTCGATGTGGCAAAAGAAGCTGAAAAGACAAAACCCAAAGAAGCACCGACGACTTTAAGCAATGCTCCTTTTGAAAAGTATGTACCTATACCGAACAATTATATAAAAAGAGTTTTAGGGGTGATTCAGAGAAAACCAGGGACAGAATAGTAGACGAAATCATTCACACGCGGACAGCGGCGTTGAAACTTGATGTTGTTCGAAAATGTTTTCATTAATACAGTTTTCACTTTAGGATGCATCTCCTCGTGGTGGTGCTCCTTCTGTGGTGTCGGAGTGTAGTGTAAGTAGTCTACCCAGTGACGCTCATCGGTTAGATCTGGATTATTCTCGCTTAAAAGAAGAGCATAGGAAGCTTCAACGTTTTTTGGATGTAACTGAAATTTTCTCAATTTACAAATTGCATTATGTTCAGGATGTTCGTCATAAGCGATTCACGGCCGTCGGCGTACATGAAGCTGTACGTAGGCTATTAAAAGGAGAGCCTGTCAGTTTGGAGTTTTATCGTTCAAAAAACGACAAGGTACAGCTTCTTGATGCTGCTATCGATATGGTTGATGGAAATGTCATTCAGACTGTAAGTAATCATTATATTATCGGACACAGTTATTATAGGTTGTGCTCTTCTTACAACAAACACTGTCTGATTCTATCTTTCGCGATATTCTTTTACGAAAACCAGAAGCTGCCGAAGAGTATATTTTGTATTTAAAGAAAGTTCGAGACTATGACGAACTTGTAAATACATTATTGTAGGCTTATCATAGTAATTATGAAGAAAATGTTTTATATTCAGTGCTCTGGGAAGAAATGCCGATGCAGCCATGGTAGAATTCTCTGCAGCCATTAAAAACAAAGTGATTAACCAGAAAGTATATAATTACTTCCTGTATCTGCTTTTCATTTCTCATATTTCAGATCCAAGCTTTGAAAAAATGTACACGAAGTGCGTTCAGTGATCCCTTCCTGTCATCAGAAGCAAACCTGGTTAATGATTATATCAGTTTGTTGGAGAGACAAGTCCCTATCGAGGTAGTAACAATAATTTATCATGTTTTGAAACAAGAAAATACAGACGGCGGATGCTTCATCAAAAGTTGATAACTTCAAAGTTTTTCCTGTTACATCTCCTTTGGTGGGAAGCTCTGCTCTTTCCACTCTGTATTATTCCTGTTTATATCATTATGACTTACCAGCGGTTAGTTTTCAATTCTACTACTTCATACTAACTTATCCTGTTCAGCATTCTCTTGCTTCTCCGCTCAATGTCAAGGAATGTCTTCGTCTATCTGAGAAAGAGTTTGTGTGGACTGCTATAAGTGCACTTGTATGTCAGAGTCGATGGCCTGACGTAGAAAGAGTGTTACAGCCAAAAAACTTGATAGGTGCTTTACAAAATCGAGGTAATAATTGTGAATGGCAGACTCATGAACCAATTTTCAAGGCATAATGAATTCAAAACTATCATGTCCATTTTCATGGCAAAATCTACTGTATATATTGCATAATAACAGAGTGATGCCTCCGAAAGATGTAAGTTGGTTCAAACTCTATCAATACAATCTCATACTTCTTAGTTCTGCTGTCGTATCCTGAGAGCTGTACAAGATCAAGACTTACGGTTGAAATTAGCCGAAAAGTATAGCATAACTGATGTGAGTTTTCGGTTTATATTCATTCTCTTGATATCTTGTTTTCAGATTGTTATGGAATGCCTGGTCGCCCAAAAAGATAGACAAAAATTGATTAAGTATGCTTCTACTCTAACTCCTCATACTCCTGAGGCATATAAAGCAGCGGCAGCATTGAACAACTCTGTAATAGTTTTTATTTGAATTTTATTCATTTATTATAACTTAAGGGCACAAGATGGAAGAATTAGGCATCTAATCGGACATATTTCACTTCGAAAACGTTTCTTTCCGCATATTACTGTGATATTTTATCGATAAAAGCCATATTTATTTGTATTATAATATTAGTTCATTGTTGAATTTGTAAATTTGCATGAAAGTAAAGTTTTACGTTCCACGTAACTCACGTGTCAAACTTGATCATCATTAACGCAACTTGAAGTTTTGATTACCGGTCGGATTTGGTGCTCGAAATGGGGAGAACTTCTTATACAGTATGAGTATCTCTTTCGGGATTATATTTACGTATCATGTTTAGACTAAGAAAACAACGACCCAATCGGGAATGTCTGCAAAAGTTTCAAAAAGATGCCCATTCGTATAACGTTCAACTATTCCAGGGCAGCTCTGGAAGAACTAGTAAAACTACTGGCAAAACTAGCAAGTTTGGAGCAACTGGGAAGACATCGAGTTCGAACAATGGAATGACTGGAGTCACAGGCTTATCGTCCAAAGCTGGTACGCGTTCACGGAGTGGATTCACAACTTCAGGAGGAAGAAGTAAATTTGGAACCAGTTTTGCTTCAACGTTCGGTGGTGATACAACTGGAGAGTACGTTACACATTTTTTAAAAAATATTTATCAAGATATTACAGATCGTACAAGTTGTCACGAGGGACAAAAAAAAATTCCACGGTTGTTAAAGGTCTACTCCGATGCTGTCGGTTCGTATTGTTAATGAACCTCATACTGCTCTTTGCTGTCTTCGCAAGCAGGACAGTAACAGATATCGACTTCAAAGTACTCCAAACTGAGACGAAATGATTATCTGTTTTCCTTCATCATCCTTGCTCGTTTATTTTAAATTTCTGGATAAAAGCTTCGGGATCTGTAACAAATCTTTTCAGTTTTACGAGTACTACGGAAAACGTGAAAGATTTCTTACCTTATGCAAAGCAGGAGTGCAGAACATCAGCAGGGGTTCGTAGAACATTATAATAGAAAAGTCTCGCTAACAGTTGAAAGAAAGATTAGCAGTACCTATCGAAAACGGAGCAATGGAGACCTAGCGAGGTTTCTTCCTTTTTATACTGTTTAGAACTGTCAACGGACAGTCGGAAAGATGACAGGTTCAGCCTGCTATGTAACTCTACTACCTCAGCCAATTTCTGTCAAGCTGCTTCCTTTTTTGTGTACCATAAGGGTGCAGCTATCATCTTAGGTCTGAAAGAGTATTGACATCTTGACGTCAACACGTCATTCTATCAGTTTTTATTGAATCTTATTCAGATAACTATAAAATTGCATATGATTGACAGTAAAATATCAACAAGGCAAGGATTAAAGCTCACATTAGTGCGATAATATTTGTATCATCTACGTGGAAGGGCCTGACATTTGTAGAATCAAATATCTTTTCTTTGGATTGGTTGCAAGGAAAACAGAAGCAAACACAAAAACAATACAAAATTTGAAAATAATCAAACAGTTTAAGAACTATAACATGGTAACTAAGCAATTCATGCCATTGGATAATTGTCATTCTTAATATGTACACTCTCGCATTCTACAGAACCTGGAGGAATGACCAGATAATTCTTCGCTATTTTCGCGAGCATAGGAAATATTATGTAGCTCGTTTTCTTATGCTCGCAAGAAAAGGCAAGAATCACAATCACAGGATCGTCGGTAACTTTTCTTTCAAAATATTTCGAACACTTTGCGTTTAGTTTCATGATATTGACTTTCAGTTATCTTGAGTTTAAATTAAACAAAATTTGATAAGTTTTGGAAATTGTTGTGGGATTCTAATTTTAAATCTTTCATATCGAATCGAATGCCCAAGTATAGTACACGCTACTATGCGGTTGTCTGTGACACTTTTTTAAATATTTTTTTCCAATTTCAACTTCATTACAGGATGAGTACTTCAATGGATTATGAAAAAAAAATTTTATAGTTCGAGTGGTAGCCGGCACATAAACAGCCGACTGCATCTCGACAGAGATGACTCGTTTGAGTACACCGAAGTTGTCTTCTAGAATATACAAAGAAGGGTAGCTGACGGTCAGAGGAAACTATTGCTCGTTACTTGTTAAAAAAAACTCTCTATGGCCCAACGTTATTGGACCATATCGTAGGAAGAACAAATAGCTATATCTGCCTAACTTTTAACAATCACCAGTTTACAGAGTCGAGGTGACTATGTAGTCACTTCTCTGTAAATGGCGGTTGATCAACATCGGAAAGTTCACCAAAATAAGATATGCCCCGTGTGACAAAATAATAATATATGACGAACTATGAGGCTGTTTCAGCCCATTTCCGGCAAATTGCAAACATTACTCTTATCCAACAACTCTGAGAAAAGGAAAGAATTCCCATTTACAGTCGAAGTTTGTTTTCATTTCTGTAAAAAGAATGAACATGGAAAACGGGACAAGTTGCGCCTGCATTTACATATGTTGTTAATTTTTATTATTCGCAGAAAGGACGAGTTATGAAATTTCGTCCTGTTTCTGTATCACTTACTTGGTGGGATAACGCGAATGTAAAATAACAATAATTAACTTGTTATTTTAACTGTGAGATCTACTTATCATGAGGGAATTGATGAAAATAATTTGAACTCATGATTTCGTCCTTTATATACAGACGCCGATGTGTTTGCGTGGGACGCCCTGTGATTTCCACGTGAACCATTTAGACCGTAAACGTTAACTAACATACAATTCTGAGTTTTTACAATAGAATTGTATATTATTGAGAACATAACTCATTTGATTTCTATAGCATTTGGATTATCTTTAATATAATATTTTGAGATGATATCACGTTATAATCGAAACCCATTCCCTCTCATAAACTATAATCGAGCTCTGTTAGATCCTATTGAGCGGTACTTTAAGTACTATGAATGGGGGGATCCCACATACTATACATGGGTATCATCATTATTTCTTTCTCATCTCCTAAATCTCTCTATTTTACAGAAACCGTCACAAGATCAACTATCTGCAGAATACTTCAGAATTAGAAATCAAGTATGAATGTGGTGGAACTTTAAAAATAAAATAAAAAATTTCAGTTATTCTATGGCGCTATTATCTCGTTAATAATCATAATATCATGGATAGTACTTTGTTTCAATCTTCGTAGAAAGGCACTGTCATCCCGCATACGTCGTGAGAAAGCTATCGAAGTGAGTTTAGATTTTCTTAAATCCAAGTCCATGCCTCCATTTAGTCACTTTTTAAACAAAAACGACCTTTGTTACAAGGTGTTCTCTCTCGACCTGCCCCGAATTAAGTTGTATGACAAATCGTATGCATTTATCCATACCTATCCAGCTTGAGTTTATTTGGGATGAATCATACCCATTTGACATTTAGGTAAATATTATTGTCTGTATCATTTGCGAACATATACTTTTTTCTTTGGTACCATAAAAGGAGATGTATCACTACTTGAAATTTGCATATTAAAATGAAAGGGCTATAAATTCAGACTCATGCGTCAAAGATAAAAAAGCAAAGTATTGAGAATTCTTTCATGGGCTTTTCTCTGAAGTTTTTGGGAGGTGGTCTTACTATTTATTCTTTTCTGAGTGTACATCCATGTTTAGTCATATGTATATGTATTCTTCCCTTCAAAACATATCATTCTTTCTTCTATAAAAATACCATACAAACACCGAGCACTATCTTTACTTCACCTCATTCTCTATTGCTTTTCCAGGTCTGACTTATGAATCGTGGAGTCTTCATTTTTCTTCATTTAGGTACTAATAGATTATCTAATCTTTCAGAACTTCTTTTAGTTTATCTATCATCCTCTCTCCGAATTGGTGAAGGTGTTGGACCAAACTTTCCACCAGCTGCTTATAATCCATGCTCTTACCCGCAGGTAGTCTGTCTATTATATGATCATTTCTACACTGAGTTCAGCAAGTTTACTATTGCTATGTCAGTTACTTGGAGAAGTATGGCATAAGGCCTATTAACGGTCAACTGCCATACTTCTCTCAGCTGGAGAAAGTTTTGAGATATGATTTGGATTTCATCAACGTTTGCAGGTACACCAGCCGAATAATTTGGAATGAAATTTTTGTTACAGAGACTATGACGATTTGGACAAATGTTTGAGCGGCTCCGATCTCTGTATATCTGTTGAATCGTTTTCCTTGTTCACGATGAGGTTATTACACTACGAAGAATTCATGTATCTGCTTTTAATACAGAGATGCTAGTTACCCAGAAGCTGTAGCTTATCTGCAAAGTTATGCGATCATGGAATACGCATGTGGTGAAGGTAGAATGGGTGAGATGAACCATTATGTTCCTTCGTTCAACTGTATACTTCAAGGTTTCATTGATAATTCGGTATGCATGACCGCCAATCTTCGTGCAGCAAGTTTACCTGAACAGATGCACCGTTGCATGAACCAAGATATCGCTCAGAGTTGCGAGTGAGTTACTACTTTGTTCAACTCTTTTCCTTCTGATATGAAACCTTATAAGCTCTTGCTTTTCCCAACTAAATACTTCAAACTAACTGCTCATCTCATAATGACGTATTTTTCAGTTTGGCAAGACAAATGGTAGATTGCGTAAAAACATCCATGACAACATCATGCGGGTATGTGGCAGGAGTTGTTTCTTGTGGTGCTGCTACAAACATACTTCGATTAGAAAAAGATGTTGACGGTTTTTGTCTTTTGGATTTAACTCATCAATGTAACTCACACTCTCTACTTATCTTTTTATTCCCTTTCACTTTCACAATTTTTCTTGTACTCTAACGACTTTGATATGATATTCAAAAAAAATTACAGGTAAATAGCCTTTTATGTCAGTTTCTTAAGTGATAGCCTTGCCTTATGTCTTTCCTACCACATATGATAAGGGATCATCGATTTTCTCATAATACGTACTCGACTGACCAATGATATCAATAAATAGGCGTTAGCCGAACCCATACTATTTACTTTACATGTCTCTAAGTTTTGATTTTTCAAATAAAAAAATTTTGGTCACTGGAGCAAGTCAAGGTGAGTAACCATTTGAGACGTATATCTATCGAAGCTCTTTGTTGTAGGAATAGGTAGAGAGCTAGTTGTCGAGCTCACTAAACGAGGTGCAACTGTTTTCGCTTTGGGAAGAAATGAAAAAGCTCTCGAAGAATTGAGCAGATTGGTAATTGAATTATCTTACTAAATTACATGAAACTTTACCGATTCAGTGTGGAGCTGTACCGATTGTTTGTGATGTGACTGATTCAGAAGACGCTATACGTCGTTGTTTGGAGCCATATCAACCATTCGGTTATTTGGTAAACAACGCTGGTATTGCTATTCTAGAACCATTTGGAGAGATTAGTCCTGAAAGCTTTACACGGTAGATATCTCTTGAGAAAATCAATAACCATCAAGTTTAGGACTCTGGATGTCAACGTGAAAGGACCTCTCCTCATTTCTCAAGTCGTTAGCAACGAAATGATCAAACATAAGATTCAAGGAGTTATTGTAAATGTCTCTTCTCAGGCATCAGTTAAACCATTAGACTCTCATACGTCATATTGTAAGTTTAGTTCTTGTCTGAAACTAGAATAACATGTGTTGAGGTGCTAGTAAAGCAGCTCTGGATATGTTAACAATGTGCATGGCTAGAGAGCTCGGACCCAAAGGCATAAGAGTTAATTCCGTTAATCCAACTGTTGTAATGACTGAAATGGGAAGAAAAGTTAATTGATTACGCTTTAGCATTTTCTAATTTAAAACTATTCAAGAACTGGAGTGATATGTCCAAAGCGAAGACATTGTTGGATCGTATGCCAGTCCAAAGATTTGCAGGTGATATCTGTAGCATCACCATAATGACTCATTTATTTAAGAAGTGGAAGATGTTGTGAATTCCATCATGTTTTTACTCTCAAGTGGTTCATCCATGACAACAGGATCCATTCTACCAGTAGATGGAGGATACATCAACCAATAATTCTTGTGATTGTAATTATAATGTTTTTCCGTGAACAAAATATCTGTTCTGATTCATATAGAGAACTTAGTTATACTGAAAAGACCTCCAAAATCACTGTAATGAGTGCCCTTTCTGGGATTCACTTTCTTGGCGCATTGACGGTTCGCAACTCAACATGTGCCAATATTTTTCTTTTCCCGCCAAGTTACCTAAGTTCTATCAATTTTCCTTGTATCTTGTTTTTTAAACATTCGACGTATAAAGGATGTATATCATTTCCTATAGATGACCACAACATTCCAACAGTTATTTGAAAAAATAATTTCACATGACAATGTCTTTTACATTCATCAACAGAGAAATGATCCCGATTTGACCAAAGAGGATAGGCTGAAGATTTTGAACGATTTGTTCAATAGCAACCTCAGATTATTTCTGGAAAGGTATTGTTACGTTTTCATTTGTTTGATTTTTTGAGAGATTTTAGCTTAGATATGAAAAATATATTGATCCTAACGATTGCGATATTTTCGAAAATCCAGACAATGACTCGACCATTGAGTTGATCATTCAGCGAATAAGGAAGCGTGTTCAGAAGTCTGAAAAAGAGGTTTGAATTCTTATTTATTTTTGATGAAACAGAAGCTGATTTCATAGACTCGAAATCGAAGGTATATCGCTCTTCGAAAGTTGGAGAAAGAGGGAGAATTTTTCTCTGATCTTAACATGAGAGAACGGGAACCATACTTGTATGACGTGATGGTTGGGCGATATTTGACACAAGAAGGTACTTTCTGTTTAAATTTTGAATTGATTTAACTTTATAATTCTAGAAGCACATTGTTTAAGACCTTCTGTCGATCGAGATTGTCGCTCAGATTGGTCTGGCTTACTTTCACAGTTCGAACAAGCTGAAGAGATATCCCAAAGACGAAATGCTCAGAAGAATTACTATGAAGGAGACAATGAAGTAAGATATAACTTTACAAACTTTGTTAATTTTGTGTTAGAAGGATGAGGAAAAGAAGAAAATGTCGCGATTCTTCGCTCATGTGGAGAACTCGATGAACAATGAAGATGAGCCAGAGGATGATAATGTTGAAATGTCAGAGTTAAAAGAAGAGATTAACAGAATTAGTCAAGAGGTTTGTTACTAGCGCTCACTCAGAAATTGTTCGTTATCTTAGGAAGCCGAGAGCATGATTATAAACGATGAAGTAGGACCTGAAACCCTTAGGGAGGAGTTCATGTCTCATATGGTTGAACGATTTCTTTCGGGGAAAGATGCTGCGTAAGTCTATTAGCTTCAAAGAAAATATACTTAGGGAGTGCTTAGGTTTATCAACTATGCTGAAATTGATGGTGAAGAAAACGATGCTTTCGATAATATCAGGCTACAAGATGAAGAAGATGCATGGTTTGACGAGGATTGATTAGATTCCAAAACTTGTACATTGACTTGTTTATGTATATATTGATTTGCGTTTTCTTAATGTTCTGAAAGTATGGTTAATGGCCATTGCGATTCCTCTGCTTAATTTCTCGTGTTGCTTATATACGTTATATTCAGGGTAACAACATGGACAACATGAATAAGCAAGTTAAATGGTTTTACCATGGCCCCGACAACAAAGTTCATGGTGAGCCAATTCTTTAAGTTCAAAACAATCCAGTTCAGGTCCTTATCACGCCAAGGATATGCTTATGTGGACCCAAACGGGATATTTCAAAGATAATCTTCTCATCCGAACCGAGCATGAAGAAGGTTTCCGAACATTGGGAGAATGGACGCGATTAGCTAGCGGAAAAGTAAATAACTCACAAGAATCGAAAAACGAAGAGTTTTAGCTGCCTTTCTTATTACCTGTTTTGTCAATGGATCACATGTTAGCCTCTTTATCACTTAATAATCAACAATCCGCTCCTATGATGATGGTCCCTCCCGGCTTGGCTCCTCCATTCCCTCCTCCATTGAGGTAACTCCGTTTGTCTAAGTGGTTTTTCATGAAGATTCTATTTTCGAAGTAGATACCATAATGGAGCTTTTATGAATTTGCCCCCTAATGCAGTACCCTCTAGCCAGCCGCCATCCGAGCCTATAGATGCAGGTAGCTTATGCCATACCCCTGACAGTGATCAGGAGATCAACCATGCTGTAAGTCATCACTATCAGTTTGAATTTAACGTTTTTAATCGCAGGATGTTCTCCATGGCGGTGTTCTCAGAAATGCAGCTGTTATGACTGCTCCTCAAACTAAGTCTGTTGCCTGTGGAACCGAAACAATGATGAAGAATGCTGAATGTCAAACGACCCCTATTATTGTAAGTGCTCTCTGTGGTAGTATTCATCATATTAGCATTTTTAGTTGAATGGCAAAGACGCAGCACGCATACTGTCTGAGATGTTGGGACAGAAAGTTCTTGTTACCTAACTTTGTTTCTTTTTTTTTAATGAGGTTTTGAGCTTTTTATTTTTTTTTTCATATTTGATATGTATGTCATTTGATTTTCATTTGACTTCCTCTGCACATTCTACGTACGATAATTCACGGCGAAATATTGTGATTCAGATTCTGATCCTTACCATCTTTTTATGTACTTTTTATGTTTTCATATTTGGATTAGAACTTCTCGATCTTCTTGTTGCCGGTTTAATCAGAAACCTAGGAGTCCTAGTGACCGATGCTTGTTCCATGTGCGTTTCAGAACTAATCCTATAAAGTTGAAAGTTATTTGATGTTCTTCTATTGATGTTGCTTATTAACGTAGTGAGGATTAAAAATGTATTACTTGTTAGTATAGTAAGAGGTCAAGTAAGATTACAATGAAATGCGTCAGTCAATCGTTATACCACATTGGTTTCTTATCCGTGTGTTACATGTGGTGGTGTAGGGCTTGTTCGATACACAAAGCAACGGAGTGTTTGGTTCGACCTTGTCCATTGCACATTCTCTATGAGGTCGTTGTATTATATGGACGATCATCTTCAAACTGTGCGATATCGATATGATCGTTCGAAGACATATGGCTTTAACTAGGCTATCTTGTTCAAAACGAATCAACAATTTTTCAACCAGTAAATTTGATACATGTTTATGTAGTTGTAATATCTTATTGTTCGTTAGAAACTCAGTTATGATTGAGTTCGTGAAACCGTAGTGTATTGCGTATATCGTACTTAGGATATCATAGTCCATAGTTCAATATCTTGCACAGCCTCACTGAACCTACTGCAATAATCAGTAGTGATTCCACTAAGCTGATGCGAAACGTAAACGAAGGTCGAAGACAGAAAGTTGTAATCATGCGCTTCCTCTGTTCAAAACATGTCGGAAATTTTTTAAATTCTTTTTTTTTATATCATTATAATATTTTCACTTAAATATACTGACCTCCCTAACTTCACTGTTCTGTCAGAAGGAAACAATTCACGCGATGGATTTGAACGTCTTCAGACTGATTATACAATAAGAAAAGATTGGACACGGTTTCAACTTCAGTTTCTGGTTGAAGGGATCATGACTTTTATATGAAATGAGAAAAAAATTTGTCATCATCAATCTTACAAAGAAAAACAAATTCCGTGGAGAGAGTAAGGCTTGCTACTTCAACTTCTACTTTACGCTTCTTCCGTTTCTTCTCGAAATAAAAAAATGAACGTCAGACAAGTTAGTCTTTTGTGTGAACAAATGAAGAACAACGTTTCTCATTTCGTTCTCCGGTCAATTAGCTACATCGGTCGTTTATCAACGTTCTATGTTGAAGGTTCATTCGAATCGTTCAATAACAACTAATTAAGATTTGCATTTCTCCTGTCGAAAGTGTTCAGCTAATCAGTACTACCGAAATCCCGAACTACAGAATACTCATGTAGCACCGACAATATGCTGTAAGTATGAACAAAATCCTACCTAACTTAATAAGTACCAAGGTTGGGAGCTTTTCAGCATGGGAAACCAGCTGATGTTGTGTACGTATTGATGGCAAAGGACACACGATTGCATTCATTGGATATTGATTCTAAATCTACTAACTATTTAATATTTCATTTTGTTTTGCATATTATACTAAGTTACTAAACTGACGGAAGGTGTCGGTCAAAGACAACAGCACCAATCAAACTCACGCGAACGGGTGAAAACTTACGGATATTAACAAACTATATAATATATGTCCCAGAAAAAAAAACACTTGATGCTATCTTCATCATAATCGAAGACTTAAAAAAAATGATAAATAGTATATGAGTAACGAAAGGCGTATCAAACTAAACAGTCTTCCACTTTCTCCTTTTGTACTGTGTGACCTCTGCCTACAATGGGTTAATGAGCTAGTCTATTCTCGAAGCACATACATATTATCAGAAAGTCTGCTACTGTTTGTTATACATTAGGAAATGAGTGCTTTTTCTAACTCAGATGTGTTTAAAAAAATATGTATATAAGTTTCATTAACGTATATGATACATATTTGATTGGAAGTCTTTGTAAAATCTTTCTCGATAAGTTTTTTTCGTCGATGACAAATGAAGACAATAGACAATTTCATTTTTCTCTGAATTTTCGTTTGAAATTTTCTTTTCGAGCCAGCTCGAAGTTCATGAAAGTCTAATCCACACGAATTTCCAGGAGTTTATAGTGTACTAGGTTTAACTTACCTAATACTACGCAGTCTGAGGTACGATATCCTCTAAAGCACATCAAAACTGAATAGCGTAGATTAAATTCCTTCGTTAATTCGAGCTATATGTGCGAAAGTGATTGAGTTGTGACGATTCGATTGGGAAAATCATCCTACAAGGTCTGATCGATTCAACACCTTTTTATTTTTTCGTGATAAATTAACCTTTTTGTTGGCGTTTTTCCAAACCCAACAAAATTCTCTTTTCTTTAGCTTGATTTTAAAATTTGTTCCATTCGAGTTCCTATAAAACAACTTTGAATATCAGATTCTCCAGATAAAAAATTACGAAGAGTGCTTCTAGAAAGACATGAAAACAGACTCTGTCAAGTCAAAGATAACCAAGTGAAGTTGTTGATGTGAACAGAAATAATTTTTGTTGCTCTTCTTGAACACAAAATTCCAGTACTAGCTGGCTGGCTTAACCGGAACTAAGTTCGCGAACTCTCGATAACTAAATTCGTTTCTTCTAGAGCTAAGTATAGAACAGAGATATCGATTTTGTTAAAAAGAGCTTCCCAATCCAAGTATGAGATGAGACTCATACAGCAGCCGGAGAAAGACAAGAATATTATAGTACTTTATCAAAAACAATTGCTTTATATAATTAATATAATATTTTACTTAAACAACGTTGTGCTGTTAAACCAGGGTAAGACAACTCTCACTTTAAATAGATGACTATTACCACACTAATTGAAGACTAGGGGAATAAAGTGCGGTAATATTTGAGAAAACTACTGGGAGAAATTCGTGTACATTTAGAGAAAACAGAGCTATTTAGTATATATATAGCATGAACGCCATAAAACACGCATACACGAAGAGAGATGTTCATGATCTATTAAATATATTACACAATGAAAACGTCAGTAAGAGGTAAAAACGTACGACAGCCATTAAAGACTAATATATTAAGAATACCGGAGTTCCAAACAAATACGAAAGCAACGTTACGTTAAATAAGTGCTATATGAACTAAAACGCTACATCTAGTTGGTATTTAATCAAAAGCATTAGCATATACCATACTATCAGCCAAAACTGATTGGAAGGATACGCTCATTTCAAACAATTGAAGCTTTATCGCAGTTAACCGGATTTAAATGGCTATAATAGAAATTTGCGCATTTTCAGTGAGCTTTCCTCAACTATGTCAATGTACTTACTTGGGAAACACATAAGAGAAACAAGAGAAGAAATTTAAACGTACAGACACGAAAAAGGCGAAAATCTCTTGTAACATTTTTACAAGACCTATTTTTTAGCAGAGGGACTTGTTCCGCCTGTTCCCGTGCTTCCAGTACTAGCTTTCTTACTTGCTGCCGGAGATTTCTCACCTTCCTTGAGAGCAGCTGCTGCACTTTCAGACTTGGGCTATAAATGGTTTTGATAAGATATAATTAGTGCACCATTACCTTGATGAAAGAGGTCAGTGGAGTATTTGGAAAGATCTTAGGTGGTTGCTCAGGTGGATTGTTGGCATCGAAGTTTAATTGGTCCAAACGCTTCCATAAATCCTCTCTATCTTTCTCGCGTTTCCGTTCTCTGTAAATATAATTTGTTCGAACGTCTTAGATTGACAATTTACCTCTGCCTTTCAATCTTATAAGTTCCTGTTAATTCATCGAAAAGTTTTCCGTTCATCTCCATGAAAGTTTTCAGGACATTATAAACCAGAGCAACAATAGTTTGATTCCAATGTTCTTTCGAAATGCGATACAGAGCAGGGAACATAATAGGCATAACCTGGGAGAACAGAAATAATGAATTCCAACTCTACAATAGTACCTGTGTGCTAGTATCTTCGATAAGGGAAAGGATATATTCATTGTTCCAGAAATAAAGGGCTCTTTCGGCAACCTGAATATATCTCTATCAAGAGTGGGAACCTATTTTGGCAGTACCTGGAAGTGAGGACTGCTTACACATTTTGCTAGTTGTCGGAATAAGGGATCAATAATCTTTTTGAATTGTTCGGGTTCGATAATATCCAGAATTTCTTCTACTTCTCCAAGGAACATAACTTCCTATAAAGGCATAAAGAAAACTATTATTGTTGTTATCATACCTTGCTTGAGCAAGTTCTAGGCCAGAATCCAAGTAGGGATTCGAAGACTTGAGGTGTCAAAGATGAATCCTTCTCTATGAATTGAACAACACAATACGCCAACTAAATAATCAGCGTTGATGTTATTATAAGATGATATACAAACCTGAGCATGGTACAGAGATAAGCACTTAGGCTTATGAAGGGGGAGCAAGACTTTGACTAGGAATATCTTGTGTTCTTGCTTGAGAGGTAGAGCGAAACCATTGATGATACTAGAAAACAAAATCAGAATCAACACACAAATGGTAAGCTTACCTTCCGAGAATTTCAAGTAATTCTCCAACTCCATTGAAAGAATCTGTCTCATAAACAAACCTGGAAAAACAAACCATAGCTCACTATGGAATCTAATAAACTCACGTCAAGAATATGTTATTAATTTGTTTTCGAATGAAAGCACGGAGCCCAAGGAATTTTCCATAAATTCTATGAAGAACGGTCTTCAAGAAATCGCGTTCACGAGGATCTTCAGAATCGAAAAGATCGAGAAGCTGAAAATGATGGATTAGAGCCAGTAATAATAAGGAAAACTTACATTTAACACAAATCTCTGGTCAATAAATCGTTTTCCTATTGAAGCTTGAAAATCAGGAGACTCGAGGAAACGGAGAAACAGTTCATAAATCAACTGAAAATAAAATTTTAGTATGATACCTTGTAAGGGATAAAGTTATTGATTGTACTTTCAATCAGAAAACCGAAATAGCTACAACAACTGCTGAAAATCTCTAAACGCTAACACAAGCCAGAATGCCACAAGCTTTTAAAAAAGAGTGTGCAAAGCGTGAGAGATTCACAGCAGGGTATACTATCACGCATGTGTTAGCTGTCTGCTCAAGCAATTGCATTAGCTTACTGAACAGGAGTGCAAAGAAATAAATAGTAAGAAACAACAAAGGCAAGTATAAATGTTGAAAAACAAAATATGATACTTTACCTGAAGGTGAGGCCATGAGACTTCCAAAGTAGGCTCGTCTTCCTCGGGATCGAATTCAGAAATATCAGATGGAGGCAGCACACGGAAAATATTTTTAGACACCATCTTGATCACCTGCAGAAATATCAACGATAAACAGAGAGCTCGTATTTTTTAAGAACAACCTCTGGGTATATACTCTCGACAATAGCACCCTTTGTGGTAGTAATATGATCAATGAGTTCATTTAAAGCAGCTCTTTTAATCTGTAAAAGAATGATTGGAAATGTGAGGAATGCATGATATACAAACCTCCTTGCTCTTAAGCTGAGATACGGGGTCATAAAAATCAAAAATTTTCTGACACTGTATCAATTTTTGCACAACAAGGTTGGGTTGCTCAACGAGGGGAGTGTCTAAATACAACAATAGTTATCATAACTCGAATTATGCCAACTACCTTTAATCTTCCCCAACTCAACAAGCTCAGGCTCATTGTCAGGATGATAACGACTGCTGTTAATAACCCTTCTAAAAACAAGTTATTAGTTAAAATACATTCAACGTTTAGTACCTTCTCCGGCTAGTACCACGCTTACTGAACGGATCTATCTTATCTACAAATTGGTTCGCAGTTGCAGAAAGTTGCCCGCCACCCGTAGCTGCCCCCTAAAGCAAAATTTCCAATAAAATCAAATTCAACAGAAACTATTCAGTTTCGATAAGACAAACCTGAGTTCTTGGTGGAGGTACTTGATGGGGAGCCCCTCCGGTAAGACTATGGCCTGACAAGGACATTTTAGTCACACAGAGGTTTATCCAAAAGAAAAACGCTGATGTCACTGCCAATAAATAGAATTAAGTTCGATAAATACATGTGAGAGAAGCTAAGCCTCTATATTTTAAGCTGAATAGATCAATAAATCCGTTTCAAAATAAATAAAAGAATTATAAATAAAATGAAATTAAAATGAGTGAAAATCAGAGGATGAGCAAAGTGCCCCGCCGCCATTCAACATTATTTTCCTGCACCACCTTTTGCTGTCTGCTCACTCCAAAACGGACCAGTCTCTCTTTCATTTTCTTCTCTGAACCACTGTGCGGACGCTCGCGAGGAAAGCGTAGCGGTTTGGCATTCGCATTGGAGCATGATAACAAATTGTGTGTTTAATGGTGCTGTCATTGATTTTTCGAACGATAATGTTTTCGTATACTCATACCGGATAATTCTTTCTATTTTTGTTTCAATATTTCATTGTAATATTTTCTGTAAGATACATTTTGATATCAGGAAAACGTTTCTATCTGATTCATCTCATTTAAATAGATGTTAAGTGTTCTGAATCGAGCCTATTAGTAGGGGTCATCTAATTTTCAATTATTATACCTTTTTTAACATATGTTCTTCTATCTCTGCTTACATCCTACTTGCTTGTTTGCAGCTTAGGATGACCACTGCTCACAGACCCACTTTCAACCCTGCCCGAGGAGGTATGGGACGTGGAGAGGGAGATCTCTCCAAGTTGTCCCAACAGTATTCTTCGAAAGATATGCCATCCCACACAAAGTTGAAATATCGTGTACCCGGACAAGGAACAGAGGAAGAACTCCGTCGCAGAGTATAAAGAAATAGGAAAACCTCATTCATAAAACTGTTATAGGATCTCCGCCGTGAACTCGAAGACAAGGAGGAAACTGCTCGTGATAGAAAGCTTAGAGATTCCAGCAGTGCCAAGAAGCCCAGACTTGAGGAAATCTCTCAGGGTCCCACTGTTGATGCTGATGATGATGAACCATATGATGATGATGTAGAGCTTTAGTTTTCTAGATCTTTATTGGACTTTTTTTTTCAGTTGGATTCGGACGATGAGGATGACGATGCAGATAATGCGGCAGATATTGCAGCCGAATTAGAAAGAATAAGAAAGGAAAGGAAACAAGAGAAGGAAGAGATAGAAGAGAAGGAAAAAGAGCGTGAGGTAGTATTCTTATTGAAATATATTTGCTATTCTTTTCTTTCAGGAAAATATTCGTATGGAAAATATATTGAGTGGTAATCCTTTGCTAAACAAGGATGATTCTTCAGAATTTAAAGTAAAGCGTAGATGGGATGACGATGTAGTTTTCAAAAACTGTGCTAAAGGCAAGGATATAAGATCTTTCTTTTGTAACAATCCTTTTCCAGGAATCGATGAGAGGAAAAAAGAGTCGTCGTTCATCAACGATGCTATCCGGTCAGAATTCCATCGTAAATTTATGGACAAGTATATCAAATAGTTCCTTTATTGATATTCAATTATCTTGTTGTGTTTATACTAAACTCGAACTTCAGAGTGTCGGTCTCGTCTTGTATTGATTTATGAATCATTCATGTGTAAATTGAATAAAATAATGAACTGAACTCGATTTCTTCTTGCGATGTTCCAACTGTCCTCTTCAAATGACTACTGACTTTTTTGGGTTTGTCGTTTAAAGTACGAATGTACGGGATCCATTGTGTTAAGGCGTGTTAGTCTTATGAATTGATAAAGATTATCAGGTTGATATCGAAGGCAGCATGAAGTGGTACTTTCCCTGATTTGAATTTTTTTCTACTTTATGACAGTATTTATTACGTGTGGTTTTTTTTGGCTGTTACAAACTCTGCTAAAATTGTTTTATCATCAGCTTTTTATAATAAGATAACGAAAATCAAACCTTGATTATTCCTGAGTAATTGATAGTTTCTTGAGTGTCCTCTTGTTTGTTTGCACACCACGTTTAGATACCTATACTTATCTTACAGACTTCGTACTGGGATTGACCAAATGACTCTTCGTTTATCCAGAAAGCTTATTGTTTTTGTTGTAACATTTTGCAGGTGATATAATCCATACTATTGTTGTGAGCATATTTTTTTAGTTATGGACTCTATCACTCTAGCAGGAAAACCTTGAGTGGAGTTAAGTCATCTGTTAAGACTGATTGGCTAGATAATACGACACATTTGGTGAGCATACTCTAACATTGATCCTTTTTTCCTCTCTTTTTGAAGACTTATAGTATATTTGCATTCGAAAAAGATTATAAAAGTCACGAGCTATTGAATTTTCATACGATTAAAACTGAGTAATTGTATTAGTTGTTCTTTCGGAGTTCTTTCTTTTCAGCCGCTATTCGAAGATGAAACTGAAGCTAAGAACTTTTTGGGGGCTCTTGATGCCATCTTCATGGGCTGCTATGCTGCCGTTGGTTTCATTATTTCTAAGAGGAGATAAGCTAATACTTCAGGCTCTCTTTTTCTGGGGCTGGCTCGGTGATCGTTTCAATCCGAAAGTAGTAGTTGCAGTGGGGATGATAGGTTCTGCAGTAACTGTAAGTAGTCGTTCGGTGATGTTGTTATAACAGTAGTTGTTTGAACTGAGAATTAACGAGTTTTGTCTGAAAATAGACACTCCGATAATTTGAGAGATGAAAAGTTCAACCGATCCACGCGTCAGTGTGGTGAGAATGAAAGTAGAGTGCTCACGTGGCACGTTGAAGTTTGCTAAAAGTTAACTAATGTCAACAAACAATGATTTCTGGGTGATAGCTTATGTATGATAATGTCATTCAGTTAACTATGTTTGGTGCAGTACCTAAGTGGATATCATACTATAGCGTACCATACTATGTGTTCACATACGTTTTATTCGGAATTGTCCAAGCTTGTGGATGGCCCAGCGAAATTGCAATTATGGTTAATAGTTTTCGTTTAAGGAATTAGAAATCCAATACATTTTAAGGCTAATTGGTTCGGAGGTTCCAATAGAGGGTTCATCATGGGAGTGTGGGCCGCCTGTCAGCCCGTGGGCAACATATTTGGGTCTATGCTAACAGCAGTTGTTTTACCTTTTGGATACGAAGTACTGTTATTGTTTGTTTTTTTCAAAAGTTCTTTATTTATAGTACACTTTCGCTGTCAACTCTGCTCTTATATTTGTTGGTTCCATTATTGTACTATTCGGAATTGATAGCAAGCCAGTAACTGGCCATCATGAGATTGATTCTGAAACAGGACACGGAAGGTATAGAAAAGGAAAAAGGGAAAAACATTTATTCTGAAAAACAGAACTGTAACTGTAGAATCTGAGGGCGAACCTATTGGATTTTTGAAAGCCGTCTTGCTGCCAGGAGTTTTGGCGGTACACTCATTATTTTTCCAATTGTCCTCACATCATTATTTTGCAGTATTGCTTATGCAATGCATGCCTGAAATTGGTAAATTATGCCTTCTTCTTTTGGCTTCCATTGTATCTGACTGATGCTTATAATTGGTCTGAAGCTGAGGTAATGAAATGATCGCGTTGGGTTTTCCAATGTACTTTAAGGCTGATCAATTGAGTATTTGGTACGATATAGGAGGTATTATTGGTAGTGTAGCTGGTGGATACATATCAGTGAGTATGAATAGAACTGATCAAAAAGTCATGAATTGTTTAGGACAGAATGGGTTGTAGAACTCCATTGATTGTTTCTATGCTTGTATGTTCATTAGGAGCTCTAATGGTTTACGCTGATATTGGTGAGAAAAAGTTGTCACCAATTTGAAAGTGTATTCTTCAGGTGCTCATATGGTTTTGAATGCCATTGTTATGACCGCGGTGGGAATCACTATCTCTGGACCATACAACCTCATTGTAGGATCGATATCTATCGATTTAGGTTCACAACCAATTCTAGCTGGAAACTCACAGGTAATTGAGCGAACAATGTGTTAGAACTCTATTTACCATAATAGGCTATGTCAACGGTTTCTGGTCTGCTAGATGGAACTGGATCAGTTGGTAGTGCCCTCGGACAGCTCATAATTCCTCTTGTTCAAAATTCATTAGGATGGAAAGCTGTGTTTTACCTTTTCATTTCACTGGTAACTTGATCAAAATCAACTATAACTATAGTTTTTAAAAACTTTCAGAACGGAGTAGCAATTCTTTGTATTTTGAAGAAGTGCATCTTGGACTTGAAGTCTTTACGTCGCTATCCAACTGAGCACACACCTCTGCTCACTGGGGAGAATGACCATGAAGATTAGGACTAATTTCATTAAATACTAATAAGGGTATTAGGTTATCTGTGATTATTGAAATGTTTTATTTTATGTATGAATGTTGTAAAAAAGGTTTTAACGTGTTTTATGAACTTTTACGGTTTTCTCGATCAAGCTCTCTGATGAATATGTTTCAACATCAGAGCTAATGTTCATTGCTTAGTTGCCATTGTTTATAATAAACTTCTTTTCTTTGAAACACCGCTGTTGTCCAACTTCTGAGCATAGTGACCACGCCTATATTTGGTTACAACTTCAGCTCACTTCATCTCAGGTTATTTTTTGGCTGAAGCAGATGCCAAAGCAATCAGTAACTTTAGAAATTTTTCGTTTTATGTATAAATGTTTTTTGACAGATAAGAGGAATTGAAAATTGTTCACTTGAAACTGAATCTCTTTGTCCTTCTCTAGGCGATTTCTGACATGATTCAGATTCTTTGTCGTTTCTTCAATTCCAATGTGATTGTGTGCATGTGTTCGCACTGATATGCTATGTCTCTGAATGTGTGTGTACATGATTCGAAATTCTGGCAGTCTTGTCCTATTTTGGTCATTTTGATCTGATATTCAAACAGTATTCGAGATAGCCTGTCACATCACTATCAGAACCATTTTTCTAGCTTAGGCATTTGTTGAACTCTTCTACTGAGCCTGTTGCTTCTCTGACAGTATACATTATTTTGCTGACAGGTAGTCATGCTATTCGAAGGACAGCTTCATATCTTCTTTATTTTTGCCAAATATGCAAATGAGAGAAACTATGGCAAAGAGAAAGAGATAGAAAGGCCGAGAAGGATGTGCCAAACTGTCTCAGAGAAGAAATGGTCTACTCAGAAGGTCATCTGGTCTGAAGGATCTCGCTATGCTAAGGAGCCTCATACACTGATTTCGCGCTTTTTTTTATTGTCTCTCTTTCTTTTCATTACCATTATCAACATTTCTTTACTGATTTTTTTGTTACAGATGTTTTATGTGAGTTGCAGCTATCAAACAAACTGGGATCCCTCAACCTGTCAGCAAACGGTGAGTAGGTTTGGTTTGTATTGAGAGCATAAGATGCATTTCAGCCTCCTGAACCTGTGCCTTACTATGAATTGGGAAGTGGCCCATTAAGGGCTTCGGACTACAACTTGGTTTCATCTCCTTACGTCAAACAACCCACATTCCCTGAAAGGTATTATGCAACTTCTCATCCAAATACCATGGAAAACTCTTGGTACTACGGATCTGTCGCGGTAGGTATTGATCACCGTATAGTTTTATTGAGTTGGTTTGTAGAATGAAAAAGCTCCTTCTTCTCCCGAATCCTGCTCTTCAACAACTGGAAGTGAGCAATCATGTGGATCAGTATTTCGCTTGCCTCCTCATATCGAAACAAAGGTTAGTATACGTTAGGTTTTCCTTATTTATATTTACTTTTCAGGTTTGCAATCCACCTTCAGCTCAGAACATAGATTCTCGAAGAAAAAAGACGAGGAGGGACAAAGTAGTTCTTGATAAGTGTCGCACATATCGTTGTCTTCACTCCGGTAAGTAACTGTTCCGACAATTTTTCAAAATCTTCTACTTTTAAGGCTGCACAAAAACATATACAAAGAGATCGCATTTGAATGATCATCTGAGAGTTCATACAGGTGAGTCGGTTCCAACCAAAAGAAAATTCTCAAACACTTCTGTGAGCAAATTAGCTACATGTTTTTTTTGTTGTCCTTAAAAGACAGATAATTAATCATTCTATCTCTTTCTTATACTGCCGCCTCTTCACACAGTAACCACTTTGTCATCTGCCAGCTTTCAAGTGGTAACCTGATGCTGCGGAAGAGAGTTGTTCGCACGCGGTATTTTCTTTAGGAAAAAGAATGCCCATCTAAAGAAATGATTAATATGTTCATTCATCATACTTCTATAAACAGTAACAAGAAATTTGATATTATCGATGAGCTTAGGACGAAATTACCGTATTACCTGGCTACCGGTCTACAGTAAATAGACAGTCTAACGGAACGATTTCTTTCCAAATGTGCTCCCTCAATATCTCTCGCGCCGACCGGATATGGCCTCGCTTTATCTGATCACGAAAGAAAGCCGGCTGACCTTAAGTTTTTGATCTAACTTTATTAGGCAGTAAAGTTAATAATTGAGGTTCTCATTACATTTCACTGTTTCTCGTCATAACGAAACCTTACAAGGAAATCTTAGAGAATGCCTTTTTTGAGATAAAAACGCGTGACATCCTTACTAATCCTCAGTATTATTCCCTCTTCGCAGCTATTTTTATGTTTTTGTTTGATTTCAACAATAATCTTTTCTTTCAAGCATAAATCAGAGAAAGAAATCCTGATAAAACGCAATGTTTGTCCAATTCTTTTCAACAGAAGAATTGAAGTGCCACAAGTTCTGAGTCAATGTCCAAATAACTGTCATATGGGAGGGGGGGGACACAAATAAAATATTTTTCATATGAAATTCGTAATTCCATATTTTTTCAGGTGATAAGCCACATGTCTGTCTATTTCCAGGATGCCAATGGAGATTTGCCAGATCTGATGAGTTAACAAGGCATTACAGGTAGATAGATTTCTTTTTCGTCTACCTTTCACTTATAACGCTTTCATTTTCTTTTCTGAAACGGTTTATCTTCAGAAAACACACAGGAGCGAAACCTTTCCGTTGCAAATACTGTGATCGATGTTTTGGGCGTAGTGATCATCTACGGGTAAGTATTTCGTAAATCATCTAACCTTCGACGAAAGCAAAAAAAAAGTTTTTATCTAGTTAAATATGGGATAAAAAGTCTCCCGATATAGATATGTTTATTTGCAGTTACATATGAAGAGACATGAACCGCCAGCACTTCCGGATCTTAGTCCCGACGATATCGATATGTTTATTTAAGAGGAATTCTATGCGTCCAGGACGTTACTGTAAAAATGAAGTTCAAAACTTATGATAATCTTATATTCTTTGAAATAGTCAAGAGAAAATATATTATATCCCCTCTTATGAAATTGCTCAGACTAGATGTCTTTCAATGAGTTGTGTTGTATGTAACTGAATCCGATTAGCTTTCGTAATCATAATTAATGGTTATTCCGTTGACATCTGAAGTCCCTGGATAGTTGTCTCATTCATCTTTCTTTTTTTCTGTTTTCAACGATAACCTAGTAAACCTGTCCCTCAGTTATTCATACGCGGTGCCGGATCAGGCAGAATCATCTTTACAGCATGCTTTCTTTGGTATACCATATTGCATAGAAGAATGTTTCATTGTATTTATTCTCATTAATAAACTCTGTTTCAACGAAAAAGACAAAATTCAAGGATGAGTAGAACACTAGACAATAGGATGATTCAGTTAATTTCTGCTTTTTGAGAAGGTAGTGATGATGTCAATGATGCCTGGCAGTTCACACTTGACAATGTCCTTAACAGGATCATCATCATTAAAACATCCTTTTTCTTCTTCTTTTTTTTTCTTTTTTAATCGAATACGGAAAATGACAGTTTGGCACAAATCGTAAATGGCAAACTGTAAAATGGATTATTCTGATGACTCTTGGTGGACAAAACGATTGCAAGAACTTCTATCTGGTTCTCTTATTGATGAAGAAAGTGAAAAAGAAAAAAGAGACACAGAGATTTTACTTCTTATTCGACCAACTTCTGAACGTCCTTTACGTCATGAATATTTCGTTGTCATGACTAGCCATAGTTTAAACTCGTTAGGTGAACCGCCACGCCTCCAGGCTATTTTGTCCTCCACAGGATTGCACTCATTTGAAGCACAAGTATATAAAGAAGATTTTGGTCCATTTTTCATTTCTGCAGAATTATTCATAAAGCTTTTGACCATTCACTCTTATGCGCCTTTCCTCTCAATTGAACCACAACCTTTCTCAGTTGCCTTTTACAGTGATATGGCTGTTTGCTACGCCTTGCTTGCCTTCGTCGCATTGTTTGCCATCCTACCCGACAGTGACCAGGTACATTGACACCTAATATTATCCGAGAGTTATCATGAGCTTACAAAAAATGTTTTTTTTATGATCTTGTTGAGTATATCATTTTCTGGCAGATATGCTAGTTTCTAATTTACGGTGAACGATTCCACGTGAACCACGTGAAGAATCACTAGGTCATTCTCATTCGCTGCCAGCAAGAGGAACGGTTGTTTCATTTCGCATCTGGAGAATGAGCGGCGTCTTTAAGCATCAAAGTTCCTCGTAGCGCATAATCGGATAAGATTAAGAAGTATATATCTTAATTCAGTGCACTGAAATCATAACAGGTTATGAAGTTGAAAAATTCATTGTTCGTTGTCGACCGGTTATACTTAAAGAATAATATTTTTGAAAACAGTAAGAAAGTAATACTATAAGGTATCTGTTGAGATGAGTAGCAATGAATGAATATTTGAATTAAGCTGCTTAGGCGAAGTTCTCTGAACTCTTAGTGATTGAAAAGAAAATTCTCTTTCAACTTGTGATTGTCACGTTGGAAACCTTGAATGTCATCACTTAGTTGAACCATTCATAGACAATAGAAATGATAAAAAATTACGTTGTAAAAACGCAATTTGCTTTTGACTGAACAAAAATGAAAACGGAAGAGAGAGAGAGTATGTGTGTGAGAGAGAAAGAAACAAAGCAATGAAAGTGGACGAAACTATTCATTTTGAGAAAAAAAAAGTTTATTACAGTGTGCCACAAGTGGTTTGTGTGGATATGGGCCCAGTTGCGGACCTGTTTATCAACCACCTCCCAGCTGTGGATGTGCTCAAAGAGGATACTCCTGCGGAAGTTATGGATGCTACAGGTAGAGCATTGATCATTTTCAGTTTATTTATCTGTTTTTGTTTTTCAGACACAGAGTCAGAGGAGCTAAGAGCTTCCAACCACATCGCAGTCGTGCTCGTGTAAGCACATCTCTCGAAACTGACCGTGAACTTTTAAAAGAGAGGTACTTTCTTGATAATCGTTAATGAAATGAAACTGTAAACAAGATGAGAGGAACAAAAAAAATTTTCAGAATAATACCAATCGAAGATGAAGGTTCACTTGAAACTGAAGAACTTCGAAAGTTGGTAGAGAAAATGCTTTCAGACTTTCGTTAATTTAGTTTACGAGCTCTCAGTTTGAACTTTCAGTTGCTTATTCTTAACTTATATTAAAATCTCAACTAATATTGTCTGATATGAGTTCCAATTTGATCATTATAGAGCCGTTCTTGAACGTGTCCGCAACCATGACAGCCTCGACAGTGAGGAACAACTTCTTCTTGTTTCGAGATCAGTTGCTCAAAACAGACATAGAAACGGACCAATTGTAATCAATTATTATAAAAATTTTAAAAACCTTTTTCAACAAAATTCAGGATCCAAACCGAGCCTTTTACGAATGTTGCTTGGATAGAAAGTTGCCTGATGCATGCTTATCCAAATGTAACTTCAACACTTATAACAAACAATCTCTCACTGCCATGTACTTCAAACAAGACCCATGTCCACTAGCTGCCATGAAAGAAATGCAATTCTGTGCTGCCCAAGGAAGGTGGAGTTTCGATTTTTTAATTCTCTTTAAAAAACAGTTTTCTATTCAGAGATCATCGTGATTGTTGCGCTCGTAATGGAGTTACAACTACATTGGCTGGACCTAAATGCTTAACATTCTGTGATCAGAGATTAGGTTCGTTTGCATTAAAAATGTTGATAGGAAGAAGAATTCAAAAATCAATTTTTAATTTTTCAACTTTCTCGTTTAGGACAAGAGAACCGTCTTGATATGTCATTTGTACCTTGCTTTGATCGTTTCGAAAGTATGAAGTCCTGCTTCTGGCATGATCTGACCAGATACTATAAAGCTTAAGTACTCTCCCTCTCTTAGGCCTTATAAAGGCCGTTGGATCTGCATTCGATTTTGTACAAACGGTTTTATCGCTAGTGAACATGAATTTATCATTTTGAATTCCTGCTCAACCAATTGTTAGTTTAAAAATGTTTTCTGAAGCTTTTATGAATTGAATGACCTGGTTGTATATAATTAAAAATATTTTGTTCAAATAAATAAAACTATTCTGTCGTTTGTATCATGTACAAGAACAAAAATTACTTTTTTTTTTTCAAGCCAAAATAAGGATTTCCGTTTTTAATTTTGTGTACGACGTTAGCTACTGAATGTCATGTGAGTCTGCACAGCACGCGGAGGTTCTTGTGAACAGTTAAAACTCTTCCTTTTTTAGAAATTTTGTTTTTCTTCTCAATTTTTTTCGTCAGATGAAGCTGCTTCACACTTCCTTTTGTTCTCTTTTTCATATTTCTCTTTCAATGAACTTCAGCTTCTTCTCAGCCTGATTCAGAAATCTTTTTTTTTCACATCCAACAGCTTTCCTACTTCCATTCCTATTTTTCATTTTCAATGTACGTGAATCTAAAACTTAAGAAGTTGTGGAAGAAAACCTTCTGCCTCACTGATTTCCTCGGCTGTTGTTATGAACTCGCAGAGTTAATTCCCAGTTTTTTCTCTTTTCCTTTACTTTTTTAGGTCCGATGAGATAGAATGAGTGGCAGAGAGGTAAAGAGAGAACGATAGAGACCGTTAGTTCATTAAACACCCTCTTTGCCTTTGTGCAGCTCTGCCTCTCCATCAATTCCTCTCTGATATCATCTCTCTCTTCATTTCATCTCTCGTAATATTTGTTCATATCGTGTCCTCATACATTGAAGCTTTGTGTTACGTAATGTAAAATTCAGAAGCACACACACAGTTATGCCAGATTTTTATTTTTTTTCTGATTTCATCAATATTTTGCATTTTCCGACTTAAAAAAGCAGCAAAATTCATGAATAGCTGAGAAAGCAGTTTAGAATATAAGAAGCATTTGTGTTAATTTGTTTTCACACCCATTATGGAATATGAATTTTTCATAATTACATATCTCTTCTTAGAAAATTTGTTTTTTTTTTATTTTCTTTCCCTTTTCCATCAAAAACTCAACAAGTTTTCGGTTTTTGTTGTATCTTTCCTTCAATACTAATATAAGACAGTTGACTTTTTTGGGACCTCCAAAAAGACTACAACGCATGTAGGGTGAAAGAGAGAGAGAAAGAGACAGGGAAACAAAGAGAGAAAGAGGTTTAGTGAGACAGAGAAAAAACATTGGTAGACCACCTAGTGTGGAGAGACACAAATATGTTGATTTTGATTAGAAAAAAACTTTTATGAGGGTGTGAACTTTTTTGGCAATCGGATAGAAGGGAAACACAAAAACTTCACAAAATTATCCAAACGCAGTAGAGATGAATAAATCGATTGATTTGTACGTGTGCATCATCACCTCACTCTCCCTTGTCTCTCTGTCTGTTCTCTTGTTTCGTCTTCATTTCACCTCAATATTATACATTTTCACTTACAATGTCATTGACACTGTCAAAGATTAACGATATAATACACTAACGGAACCCTCTTAGACTTACGTACCGACAAACGTTTGATATTCCATGGAATATTTCATTATATTTGAACTTTCAAATGTTTTGTGTAGATCATCCTAGTTGAAGTAAGGACATCTACTCTAGTCACTCACTTCAAATATAAATTTTAAACTCTCCGATGCCCTAATGCTCAGAGCGCGAGGTTTGCAGAAGCTGTCCTAGCGAGCCGTTTCCATTCATTGCTCATTCTTTATTCGACCTATTATAGTTTCACTCTGCTTATTGGAAGAGAAAAGAATGTATTTTGGATAAAAGAGAGGGTAAGAATGAGAGGAAGAGACACTAAAAGAGAAAAAGGAGAGACAAAGCATGGGCGCTTGAGTCAAAACTAAGAAGTTTGGTCACACTTTTACGTATTTTCATGTTCTACTTTAACCGAAACCCATAAAAAATACTTGAAAGAAAAAAAAAGAGACTTTCAAGTTAGTTGAAAACAGTTTGGCGTCGTTGAGTCAGCTTTATTCTCGAGAAGCAGTTAGTTAAAGCCTTTTTATAATGTTCTTGTTCATTACAATACAATCCTTTGAGATGTGGCGTGACCTTTTGAAATGCATTTTCAAAAGATCAAATGAAAATCATTCAATAATATAAATAAATATATATTTATATATATATATACATATACATATGTATATTATAAAATTATAAAATTCTCATCATTTTTCCATATTCGTCATTTACAATGTTCCCCTTGGGGCTGATTCTTTCAATATTTCTTCCTGTCACTTTTTCTACCAAAAAATGCTTCATTCTACCCTTCTTACTCAGCTCTCTCGACTACAATTTTTGGAAAATTTGTCCTTAAGCATACTATTCATTTCCACTTTTTTGTTTCAAGTTCTTCTCTCAGCACCTATCTGACTAAGCTGTGAAATACGTTGTTTTGAATTGAATAATTCAAGAAATGCCAAATAGATGGATGCAGAACAGAAGTTCATGTATCATCAAATTGTTTTTGTAATTTTAGTTCATCAAGAATGTATTTCTCCAGCTGATATCAAGCGCGCTCTTTCATCCACTGAATCCTAGTAAAGCTGTTATGTCAACATCAACTTGTTTCCAGCGGCTTCTGTTGTCCATCCTATTGGTAGTTATCTGAAAAATATTGATTTTATTCAAAGAGTTAAGGAATACGGACCAAAAATTGTCTACATCCAGTTAGTTTTCGAAAATTGTTGGCAATGTCCGCTTTGGGCATCTTTTTCTCGCAATCTTCTCTAGTTTTCTTCCTTTTCCATGCTTTTCTTGCAAGCACTGTGTACGAGACGAAATTTGATTTCGTTCTTGAATTGATTATGAAAAGTAGTTTCAAAAAAAATGGTTGATTCTATTTCATGTCGATTTCAAGAGGATGTGACCGCTGAAATCAGATTTCAACGACAAGCTCGTCAAATCTTTATTCCATTTGCCACTTATATGCTTGCAATAGATTCACCAAGACATTTATCCTTTTTCCTCTTTGACACATTTTCCCGTGTTACTCGACATGAGAAAAACAAGATGCTATAGCTATCTCCATAACATTTTCTGTCTTCAATTTGCGAGCAACGATCAAGCTTTTCGATAATGTAGCTAATTAGGTGATGTTAGACTACTTGTCTCTGCTTTAAGTCTCAAAGCTACATAAACTAACAATATGTTTTTCTTACTTAGTGTCTTCCTGTGTTCGTTTTCTTTCATCATGGTTAAGTGAATGCTCTTTTTTAGTTTGATGATTTCGTAACAAGAGCTGATTTATTGAATAAAGCTCTTCGAAGGAAGTATAAGTTACTACATTCCATACAAAGACTCTCCCACGACATGTTCCATCGTTCAATTTTCATCTCAAATATGCACATGCTCTTTTTAATCATTCACTTGTAGCTCTTGAAATTTACGTGAAGTTCACGTTTCTACTGTGTGTCAATTTTCATTCGATTTATGGCTTGTTTGTTGAACGGTTGTATTCTCATTTTCCAAAATAGAAGCGGTTACATTCGTATACAAAATCGTCGTGTTTCGATTGTTCTACCGTCGTTGCCATCATAATAGATCAT